CTGAAGAAACCAGGCCTAGATGCCTAATGACAGAAACACATTACGATAACCTTGTTTAAGTCACGGCTGCCTCGTGCTTTTTCTGTTTGTGGACCTTTGTTGTATCGGCACCAGGAGATGAGGGGACAGACTGCTGCGAACATTGACTCTCCAACTCTATGTCTTCATATGGGTTCTCATTGGATGAGTCTGCAGAAACCAACATATGTTTATATAACATTTTTTAGAATATGTAGACATGGTGGTATGGCCCTCAAGACAGAGTTATGTCCGTAAATGCTTCTAGAAAATAGATAAAGTGAAAATGTTCAATTACCAAAGCATGTTACAATGTTACACCAAAAGCAAAGTGGGGAAAAAAATCAAATGAAGCAGTTGTCTGACCCAAGATGTCTTCATAGTGATGTTCCTGACACATGGGGCCTGAGAAAACTGGGCTGGGTGACCTTGTACGGTCTTCAAAGTCAAATGGTTTCCTGTCATAGTTGGCACAAAAGTGCAAGTTATTTAGATAATCGCAATGGATTTGATTTAACACTTTGTATGACATAATCATCCCAGAAGCGTCACTGATTGGGTCCCAAACCATTCGTACCTGTTGTTAAGGTACCTATCTGCCCTGAGTTTCCCATGGTAACCACAGGGGGGCTTCGAGGATGTTTTAGAGGAAATGGATGGCAGTGGAGGGAGGTTCCTCTTCCCTCTCCCCTCCTTCGAACTTGTTCCCTTGGAGGCAGTCGCTGGATGTTGAAAGGTACGCTTGGGTTTGGGCACCGGATTGATGGGCAGGGCACCTGGCTCCGTGTACACGTTCTCCTGATCCTCCCTTCCTAGAGATCTACTTTCAACTGAATCATTAAGTTCTTTCTTTTTCACCTCGACTTCCTTGTCCTTGCCCGGTGGACTGAAGTAGTTTCCAAGCTCTGCGTGGGCTTTGCCATGGTTCTCCCCCAACGTCTCTAATTTCTTGAAAAGAGTAAACACCGCTCTCGTCTCCTCACTGGTTTGTTCTGACGATTTCTTCTCTCTGCTCTTTTTTAGCATCCCAACGTGCTGCCTCTCAGTCGCTGGTGGAGAACAAGGCCTTGAATCATCACTAAGAGTATCTTTGTGACCTACATTTCTCTTGTCAGCTTTTGCCGTGTTGTCACTGGACCTAGAGCTTGGATTGATCACTTGGGGCTGATTCCCAGGTGCAGGAGGCGAACAAGGACTTGAATCATCTCGAGGAGTTTCTTTGTGACCTGTATATCTCTTTGAGGCAGTCTTTTCCCTACTTTCACTATTAGCCACTCGAGGTTGTTTTGGCGGTTCATCAAGTGAACAAGGTCTTGACTCGTCACGCATTAATACGTTTTCTTTCCCAAGGTCCTTCTCCTTACTGGCTACTGTCCTGGTACTTTCAGTCCTTTGCTTATCCACAGTTTTGTTGCTGCCATTTGTCAAAGAGTCGGTTCCTTTATTGCTAGCACACTTGCTCAAGCTACTTGACGTTAAATGTGAAAGAGTGGATTCTTTGTTCTCCCAAAGAGAAATCTTGTCCTTGATGTTTCCCCCATTGGATCTCGGAAGTTTGGTTCTGACGGTGGTGCTGTCGCTGGGGTAGAGGTCACAAACTGGTCTCCTGAAATCCATCCTTGACAAATCTTCTCTCTGGTTCCACAGATCGTCTAAAAGGGCAAAAGGTTGTTTTTTTTGTCTCTCTTACTTTTTGCCCAACATCCCTGATTTCCACTGCTACGCTTTTCCCTCGAAGAAAGCCCAACTTTTGCCTAAACAAAGGATAAAAGCACACTTTAAGCTTTTGAATCATAATAAATTGGTCAGTCTCATATTGAAAAATAAATGTAGACTTCTAACTTCTAAAGAAACAGAACCACCAGAGTTTCTTGAACTTCTCATACGGTCAGTGGGGCGACCAGTCATAGGACGCTCAGTTTTCCTGGTGACAGTGGGAAAACTGAGCCTGAGAGTAAATGCCAGAGGGGAAGCTCATCATCTTTGCAAAATAAACACATTCTTGGAGTGGGGCCAAACGTTGCTGGACTGTTAAGTTTTAATAAATAAACTAGAGGAAATGGGAAGCCCCAAGTTTAAGGACCTTCTATGGATGGGAGGATCAAAGGCCAGTTGGATGCTTTTCCTCATTTCTCAGGCTTGGAAAGGGAAATGTTTTGCATCTTTGACATTTATACAGGTTTCACTATTTTGTATTCCCCTGGAAATCCTTACAGGCAAAATACTTAGAAACATCATATTTGTGGCATATTTTTATTTATTTATTAATCACATCTGGGAGAACAGGTAAGAGTTATCTGTTTTATGCAGATGACTCCATATTGAAAGGTCACTACGGTGATTGTGCATATACATGCTGCTTCCTCCACATTTTGCCGATTTTCTTCAATAGCGAGAACACAAAGTTAACGTCAACACTTTGCTATGTATAATTTGCTGCCCTCTACATTGCTTTTAGAGAACCACGATTTTTCTGAATCTTGGTCATAAAATGACTTTCAAAGCACATATTATTGTTTTGTTTTTCCAGGAAAGTTTAAAGTCATTTTAAAAACTCTAATATTAGTTTCTCTGTGATTCTCGTTTGAGTCATGATGTTTTTCGGCTGCTTTTAGTTGCCGTCTTAGGGAAGGAACACGGCATTTTTGCAAACTGGAGTCCAGATTTCTGAAGATTTTCAATTGGGGCGACACTGGAGCAGAGAGTTTGACCTGTAGCCAGTGGGCTGCTGGTTCAACTTTCCACTGGTGAAACCATTTACGCACGGGAGAGGTTAAAACAATAATCTGGGCCTTCGTACAAACCTGTTGAAAGCTGTGTTGATTCTCTCAGCAGCCTCCATGATCACTGGACACCTGGAATAGTCACAGAGTGAATTGTTTTGGTTCGGTGACAGGAACATAATGCTCCGAAAATTACATTTCACAGCATTCCTGTCAATCGATCAAAAGGAGTTGGCCAAACTCAACGAAAACGCCACTGTGTGACATGCTCAGAAATCAATTCCTCTGTCAGCCAGAGGTGCACAGGTCAAAAACTGGCCTCCTGTGAGGACAAACATGCTTAGCATACTTTCACATGTCTCCAGGGCCAGCAATTTAAAGTTCAATGTCCTCCAAGATAGCACTTAATAATTTCCCAGAACTGTGACCGCTGTTATCGTTGACAGTCACTATGACGATGTACATGAGCAGCGGGACAGCATGAATCTTTAGACAAGAAACACAGATGCATCTTGGCATTTTAAAGCAAAAGAGGATTAAGAGAACCCAGAGTGACATTATTGATTTTCCCCAGAAGAGTAAAAAGTAGAAACAAACCCCACAACCTTCTGCTTTGATTCCATCTTAAGCATTTAAAAAAAAACCTTAAACCACAGATAACAAATACCAACAGTTCACCATCTTTCAACTTGCAAATAAACTAGGAACAATGAACAACCCAAGAACAATATTTCTGTCACCATATTACAAAATAATGCCTCACCTCCATCCATTCGATAAAACTACGGCTGGCTGCTCCTAAATCCGTATCCATCGGTACGGCGTCCAAACCCCACCGGCGTTCCATATGTGAAGACAATCTGACAGGCTCCCCAACTTCACTCAAATCTTGAGCAGATGGTAAAAAATTTCTCTCTCCAACTAACGAACTCTCTCCCCCCTGTGATTCTCTTCCAATCATTCACCCTCACTCTCTCACAACTCTGGATGCAACTTCCTGCTCCTCTCCCCTCTTTGAGTTGCTGCTGCATGCCCCTCTCACAGCTGAACAAGCAGAATGGATGGCTGTGTCCTGATGGTCCCTGAAACGATTCAGAAGCCACATTTTTAACCCGTGGCTGCAGGAGAATTTGTTCCATGGGACATGCATCATCACATTAAATCACCTCCCTACCAAATTTGAAGTTTGTTGGAATTTCTGTCCCAGCTGTTCCTGCACAGTGGTTGCTTACGCAGCTGCAGCAGATCAGCCCCTCTCCACTGATCTGCCGTTTAACACGCAGAATCTGTTTTTGTGTTAATGTTTTCTGTCATTCCTCTTCTTTTTTTTTCTTTGACTTGTCTTGCTCTTTACGTTTGTGGTCTCTCTTGTCATTTACATAGTTGTGTTTGCCCCCCTTTATTCTCATACTCTCACATCACCTACTTCATCTGCCTTCTTTTTTAATTGAATCTAAGTGTAAATTCGTGTGGTCTGTGAAGGCTTCAGAGATTTATTAGAGAAAATTAGTGAACAAAGACCAAGGAACAGAGCAAACAGGTCAGGGAGAATGTTGTGGGGCTTGAGTTGTTTTCATAACCAAGAATGATTCATTTGTGTTTCCAGATGTGCAAAGCTGATCAAATACTCCAAAAGACTTACTAAAAGGTGATTCTAGAACCTTCTCGGAGTGAAACACATGCATGCCACACTTTTTAGACTTTTTGTGAAGAATTTCCTGTACATTATCCTTTGATTTCCACTTTACATCTTCTTTTCATTAGTCCAGAATATAACGTTTCTTAAAAAGCATTGAAGTTTGTTGTTAAAGAAACCCTAGATAAATTTGTTAATTAGTTAAATCTACCTTGGTCTTTCTGTTTGTCACTATATCTGTGAATATTTATTTGGAGTTTTTTGTTTAATAAATTTTATTGTAGAGTTTCAGTGGACGAAAAGCAGGCCCACAACTAGAATTCTGCACAGGAGCCAATCACAATCTTGGGCCAACCCTCCTCACCTGTACAGTAAAAATGACATTTTGTCACAAAGAATGGCATCTTCTGTCAAGGACATATTTATAATTTACATTATGTTATTTATATATTAGACTTCTTAATTTTGGCCCGAGACCAAATTTTGTCCCTAAAAAAAAATCCTTGACTCCTCGAGTATTTATCGAAACAGCTCATCATATTTCTTTCTCTTCATCCACCATGATCTATTATGGTGAACGCATTTCCATTCCTGTCCTGCAGGTGGCGGTAGTGCTGCTCTCTCCGCGGCGGTCTGTGCCGTTGAAGAGTGGCAAAGAAATTCACAGTAATCAAAGACGTACAGTCGCTATACCAAGGATAAACTGGGCTCGGAGAACCTCTACGGAAAGGTGAGACCTTCTGTTTGTTCCCCGACCGTGGCTTAGTGACTATTGCGAAGCTTTTTGTAAGAACTCTCATGTTAAATGAACCCGGAACTGGCTGTTTATATAGCTTGTGAAGCTAGGCAATTGTGTCACTCAGTGGCATATGTGGCAAATGGAGCGGCAGGAATAATAAAGGCTTGGAAGTGAAAAGTACATTTTAACATGACAAGCAGAAAAATAACGCACTGTCGCTGACATATTAATATGTATTAATGTAGGGCACGGCAAAATCTGAGTGATACACAAAAAGCTGATATCATACACAAGGAAACAAAACTTGCTCAAAGATATTGGTGTCTCTCAAGGTAAACAGAAACGGCTCAAGCTGCTGTAGATGAACGCCTGTTCAATCCAAAATCCATGCAGCAGTTACTGAAATATGTCAGATTTTAATATTCAAGCAGAACTGTGATCCCCTGAACTGATTGATCAGGACACAGCGTCCTTTTTTTAGGAGTTGAGGACTCTTCTGGGTGAAGCTGGTGGGGGAGGTGTCACAGTTTTTAAGTCAGCCAGCCTCCCCCTGACTGGAGCCATTGATAGGTGGCCTTGGCTGCACATAGGGCAGCATTCAGACCAGGTATATCTCTTGAGAGGCAGAACAATGGCTTCTTTCAGAAAAATGTTCACGTTAAAAGTCTGCTCAAAACAATTAGTTAATAGGAAAATTACAAATAGCAATGCTTATACGCCAACATCCTCCTTCAAAATAAGTGATTTAATTTGCACTTTTTTAAAAGTTTGGTACAGTATCTTGCAACTTATTAGTAACCTATGACTTTGCATAAATGAAATGGCTTTTCCCCCACATCTTTTCCAGGAGTGCCAATAAACGTGTCTACTTTCTATTTGTTACATTTTTTTTTGTCATAAAGAGTTTTGTTCAGAAAATGAATTTAATTTGGGCCTCTTTCCTCTGCAGGCACAGCTTTCCTCCCGTAGCAATGCGTTTGTGTCATCTGAGTTAGTAGTGGAGGTCCTCATGTAAGCCTCCCCCCTCCCTGTCCTGCAACGACCTCCACCGACCCGACACCATCTCCTTCCTCCTCCTCCGCCTCCTCTTCCTCCCTCCAGCTGCCCCTGTGATGCCTCCCTCGTGCTTTGGCTGTCTGTCACAGTACACCCATCATCATCTGGTTGTGTTCCTCCTCACCTTCTTTAGGTAATTTAGAAAATGTGTATTGCTTTTTTTAGGGACTATACTGTAAGAACTGTTGCAACTGTTTAAATTGTGACTTTTAAATTTAGTGAAAGTATGTCCGCTCAGTCGAAACACATAGTTTGCTGTTCTTTGGAGGTCAGACTTTCAGCCACAAGTATGGATCTGTCTTTTTTATCTTCTCTGCTCGGTTGATGCAATTTCCCTTTTCAATTTCACAGTTTTGACTGTTCAACTTAAGCCTAATTAGATAAGCTGCTCTCTTTCCAGTTCAACATGACATAACTTCACCTTCTCAGAGAATTTCCCAGTGTTTGATATTTAGCGGGCTTTTAACGTTTCCCATCCCTTCAACTTTTTTATGTTTTGTCACGTTACAGACTGCGGCGTAGACCAGCATAAAGTATCACACCACCACGAGTTGGAATGAAAATAACATGTTTAAAATCACTTTGAATAGTTATTATTTTTTTATTTCATTTTAGTTGTGGCTTCAAATTTTCAATTCTGTCTTCATCCAGCGGTGTTAGTATTGTATTTTTTGAGAATGCTTAGTTCCAGTTTAGTTTTTATCAGTTTCAGATGTAGTTCGGTTTTTGTCTGTTACGTAACAGGGGCAAGGCAGAAAATAAATCAAGTAAAGAAAAAAAGATTCGAAAGAAAATGCTTTCATTTACCGCAAACGAACGACCAGTAAATACACCAGTCAATTAAGAAAGACATATGGCAGGGTAACTAAACAATTCTGCAATAGTTTTATTTCAGTTAACAAAAATGTTTTTCTGTTTTTTTCTTCTAATTTTTATCTTGTTAGTTTTAATGATAACCTTGCACCTTCAGTCAACTAATCTGCAAATAGAGAGCTGCTATGTAGCTCATTTGGATATTTATTGACTGACTTATAAATAGTTTCTTCTAACATGCATTACGATTGTGTTTAAAGAGTGAAGGTCAACAAGAAGAGATTTGCTCAGAGCAGAGGTCAGATATCGAAGACAATAAAGACATATAGACATAGACATTTTGTACAACTCAAACACTGTGAGGAAAACCTATGTCATCTTGAACTAGATGAATCCAGCTGTGTTTCTTGCTTCTCAGCAGAGTCACGTTTTTCCTCTCTGTCTCTTCCCAGCTATGTGTTGCTGCACGCTTCCAGAAAGACCTTCAGCAATGTGAAGGTCAGCATCTCGGCCCAGTGGACGCCGTCCGCCCAGAACGACAGCGCTCCTGCGTTCTCTCCGGACGAGGTACCGGCAGCCGACACCCTGCAACAAATAAACTCTCTTCCGCGAAAATGTGTTCTTGGGCCCTGGGGGAAGTGTGTGTCTGAGGAAGTTTCTGTGATTTCTATTACCGTGCAGACATGGGAGGACAATCACCTGTTTGCTGATGAAAAGCAGGCCACGCTGTTTTTGGGAGCTCTGGACACGATCTTCCTCTTCTCATACGCGGTGGTGAGTCGGGAGAAAAAAGTGAGACACGTCCTGCCCAAGGAGGCGCTTCATTCAAACCACCGTGTGTTTGATGATCAACATGCAGGGTCTGTATCTGAGCGGCATCATCGGGGACAGAGTCAACCTGCGCTACGTGCTCTGCTTCGGCCTGTGCGGATCCGCCATAGTGGTGAGTGCCATGAACCTCACGGCTAACGCTTTAAACGTCTCCCCTCGTCTGACGCGTAATCCCTACATTTGCAGGAGTTCCTTTTCGGCACCCTGACCGAATGGCTCCACGTCTACAACGTCTACCTGTACTGCAGCCTGTGGGTGCTGAACGGCCTGCTGCAGTCGGCCGTCTGGCCCTGCGTGGTGGCCGTCATGGGCAACTGGTTCGGCAAGACGGGGTGCGCGATGAACCTCGGACACTTAAACATCCTGAAACGTGTAGTCAGAGACGGACGCTCAAACATATACTTCGTTTAGATTCAGTTTTGTCTGCAGGAGGAAATATTAACACAAGTTAGAGGGCTGTCTTTTTGAGTTACAGCTGCTTTATTTGTGGAAGGTGAATGACAACGAGGAAGGGGTCAGTTTTTTGATACAGCCGTGTTGTTTTGCAGGCGCGGCTTCGTGTTTGGACTGTGGAGTGCCTGCGCCTCGGTGGGGAACATACTGGGTGCCTTTCTGGCCTCAAGCGTGCTCAAGTACGGATATGAGGTCAGTCTGTTACATCATCAGTATAAGCTTGTTTAACTTCTGACACTTTTGAAGTTTTAGCGACTTTTTTTTTTTTTTAATTAAAATAGTTTCACTTTACAAAGTCAAACTATTTGGAGAAATACTAAAATTTCTTTGTTCGCTGCTGAATCGCATGTTTCTAGTGGCTGAAGCACAGCAAACATGTACCACGTCTGTTTTTATAATCTGAGAAATTTGGTATTTTAAAACGAGTGTGAGGTCAAGTCTCTTTATCTCATTATCATCTGCTTCCTCTAGCACTGCCTGGCTTTAGATACTAATGTCAACCATGTGGTATTCTTGTTTCTAGTACGCCTTCCTGGTTACTTCTGTGGTGCAGTTTGCTGGCGGGGTGGTGGTGTTCTTTGGCCTCCTGACCTCGCCAAAGGAAGTCGGTAAGAGCCGAAAGAAGTACGAACGATTGCGAAGAGCCACGAGACACAGTAACCACCACTGCCACCACTAACTCTGTCTGTATCTACTACACCTTCGTTGAGACTTGCTTGTATTTTCCTGGCAGGTTTGCACTTGGAGTTAGAAACCGGGCTGAGCCCGGTGGAGACAGACACGGACAGCCACAGACCGCTGATGAGTGACGAGGAGGATGACGAACAGGAGGTGGAGACGTACAGCCAACGATGCGGCGCGGATCAGCCACCGGAGGAACCTGTGGACGAGCCTCCTCACGCCATTGGCTTTTTCCAGGCGTTCTGCCTTCCTGGAGTCCTGCTCGTGAGTCTGATTTGATTGGTCCAAGCAAACTTGAATCAGGCATTCAAGGGTCCTGAAAACTCTGGACTCCGATTCAACAGACTTCTGCTTTTGATTATGATGTAAATCTTCTCTGCTCACGTCGCAGTACTCCTTGGCGTACGCGTGCCTGAAGCTGGTCAACTACTCCTTCTTCTTCTGGCTGCCTTTCTACCTGAGCAACAACTACGGGTGGAAGGAGGCCAAGGCCGACCGGCTGTCCGTGTGGTACGATGTCGGCGGAATCGTGGGTAATGACACCGTTTTGTGTCGGCCGCTTGGTTTGGTTTTGTGATTTCTACTTGAGTGCGTGACGTTGTGCGTCTGTGGCAGGGGGAACCCTTCAAGGTCTGATCTCTGACTTCATGGGGAAGAGAGCGCCTGTGTTGGTTTTCAGCCTCGTAATGGCAATGGGCTCCCTGGTGGGATACAGCCGTGAGTTTTTTGCACCCACAGCATCGACGCATGTTTCCATGCGAAACGTAGGGTCATAGTTTATAGTTCTGCCTCTGAACTCCTCAGACTCTCCTAATGACAAGGTGATCAACGCAGTGATCCTGGCGATCACTGGCTTCTTCATCGGCGGCCCGTCCAACATGATCAGCTCGGCCATTTCTGCAGATCTGGGGAGACAGGACATCCTGAGGGGCAGCCAGGAGGCCCTGGCAACCGTCACGGGGATAGTGGATGGAACCGGGAGTATAGGAGCTGCTGTGGGACAGGTGAGCCGGAATGAGGATTGGGAGAAAAATCATCAATCCTGGAGGATTAACCAAAGAAATGCTTTTAAAATGCCAATGTTGCGCTTAGATGGGCATTTCATCAAAACAGATTTGGAGAAAATTCACCATGTCGACTCATCCTTAAAAATTCTTGAATTCATGTGTCTAAAATTACAGTCTTAAAAAGCCTTAAATTAATTGAGAAGAAATAATTGTTAATCACAGGTCTTAAATTTTGTTGTGGCAGACTATGAAATTCTCGTATAGTCTATGTAGTTTTCTTTGTTCTGACAGAACTTTACTATTGAGCAAAAATTTGAGTCTCATACTGGCAGTTAGCTATTGGTAGCTAACTGCTAATGTAACCTTGCCAGCAACTTAGCTAGTAGTAAGTAGCTACTTTGCTACTTGGCTAGCAAGAATACATTAACCTACATTAGCAAGAGTATATTATTAACTAATATGCCCTTCGCTAAGTTGCTTATCACCAGTTGGCTGGACAAAGTTCATATTGGCCATTGGCTTACTTCCGTTTCCAGCGAACGCAATTTTTTTTACTTTACCTTTTTCTGACATGTCTGTGGTCAGTTTTGTTAACAATGGTCTTAAAAAGTCTTACTTTTGACTTGGTGACCAGAGGATGACACCATTTTCTGGTCACATGAGAAACAAAATGCAACTTTGTGGCTGACATCTAAAACACGTTGACAGGGTAAAAGATCATCACAGATAGAAGACTTTATATTTATTATTACATAGAAATCTGAATAATGGAGCTTGAATATTTACCCTTCACTGTCACCGTTCCATTTGTAATCCCGCAGTACCTGGTGTCGCTGATTGAGAGCAGACTGGGCTGGATGAGTGTTTTCTACTTCTTCATCGTCATGGTATCGAAACCATCCCAAGTTTCCGCATAAGTGACTATTCATCCCGATAGCTTTTCATGTTTGTGTTGTTTTTCTAATGTGCGTTATTTTGTTTTGCCTGTGCAACGACAGACAGGGGGCAGCATTGTCTTCATCGCGCCGTTGCTCGTCAGAGAACTGCGAGACATGTGGAGAGACCGGCAAGCTCTGCGCCACCAGCTCTAAGAGCCCGACCGTCGGCTCCGGTTCTGCTCATTCGCTCGGCTCCAGGATCTATAAGGTTCGCCGTCAGCCAGAACAGAAACGTTAAAACGTTCTGTAAGGCTTCACTGAGCTCAACACAGGGAGGGTTTAGCTGAAGTGCTGGGGGCGTGTGGTGTACATATTTTAACGTTGTAAATTAATGTAAATAATTCTCTTTCTCCTCAAGCACTTCAGTTGATATGAGTCTTGAATCAGGAATGTAGACGTGAGGTTAAAATGAAGACTGTGAATAGTGATTGTAGTTTTGTAATCTTGCACTCAGATTTGAGTTTTCTTCATCGGTCTGACATTATTTCAGTGAACCACTTTAATCTTCGTCTTTGTTTACAATCGGGGGGGACTGGTCCTATCGTTCACTTACGCCACCGAATCCTTTTGTTTACGCTTTCTTTATTCAGAAATGTTTACACTTTTAGTTTCTGGTTCTTAATTGGTGACAAAGTCGCACTCTTCAAATGCGGCGCGGCATTCTTTAAACTTACAGCGGCCCCCACATTTATCTGAGCCCTCGTAAAATAAACGGATCTTTTTGTTCTGTAGCATAAACTTGCACCATAATCTTAGCTAATCTTAAAATCTTTTATTGGGTTTCTACAAACCCAATAAAAGTATTAAAAGCAACAAGCTGTTCTTTGAAGAATCACCCAGATTAAAACAATCCTCATCCTGATTTATCACAGTTCTGGCTGTTTTCAGTATTTTTTATTATTGGCAGTATGGACAGGTGAAGGTGATCCTGTCCATACTGCCAATATTTTTGCTATTTTATGACAGATCTTACTTTATATGACTGATGAAGAACCTCTGTATCATCTCCTAGTTACAAAAAAAAATTAGAAACTTCTCAAATTTAAGTATTTTTTTTAATTATTTTGACAAAATATGTGGTTACATTTTATTTATTTCTTATGGATTTCAGTCCAAAGATTGAAGAAATATTTTAAGACCCACTAAAGCTTTTTAATTCTTGGTGGTTTGTCCACCAAATAAAACTTGGTTTTATTATGAAAGCAAATTAATTATTCTTTTTTTACATTTACGAGTAAAAATCAACATTTTTGCAAGGATAAAAGTCTGTCTCATAAAATGAGGCCATTTGAGTCCTTTCTAAATATAAAAACTGTAGAAAAGCAGTCGGCTGCTTAAAAATACAGGACAAGCTTGAAATTGAATTTCCTTGACTCAAAGTAAAATTTTCCATCATTACTGCAGAGAAAATGGTTAGCTGCAACATTTTGTGTAACAGTTTATCAGGGATGTAAATAAATGTGAAGAGAGCTGTGTCTTTGCACAGACTTTACATTTATTTTTGGCTCAATGTAAAATCAAACCTTTATAAAATATTCAGTTTTGACAGTTGCCAACTTCTTTTCATGACTAGAAGTAGATATTGTTTTGTCAAAATGATTTTTTATTTTTTTTTTTTGCATTTATTTTAATGCTATCTGATATCAGGTCATAATATATTCAACTATAAATCTGTTTATGGGAGGAGCCAAACACATGTAATGGATTGTAAAAAATAAGTAGGTGTGAAATTTTTCCTCTGTATTTTTTAATGGTTTCATTTATGTGCATCTTTTAACTGTAACTTCTACTTCTGTGTGAAATAAATGCAAAGTCGCCATCAAGCTACAAGCAGTTTTGCGTCAGATCCACTAGGGGGCGCAGATTAAACTTCAAATTCCACCTTTTCTTTGGATTCTCTCGAAGCCAGACATGCGAGATCCACATCAATGTGATTTCTCTTCATATTTATTTATTGATGAAACAAACCAAATGAAATTTGTTATGAAAAGCTGGAGAGCAACAATACAAATATTATCCAAAAAGATGGTGATACAAAGGTACATGAACCAGCATTAAATTACAGTTGAATTATTACAAAATGGTGTACAAAATATCTTACATTCATGCATGTACAAAATAAAATAAACACTTCTGCTGAAGCTGCAAAATAATAGTTTGCAACCTCTGGAAACGGATTTATTGTTTTATTTATTTTTTATTTTTTCAATAAACTTTAACGAGGAATAATGTGGCTACACTAAGCTGAAAGTCTCAGTCTGAAGCCGAGTCTGCTGCCCTGTGTCTGTTCTCCACAGATTTCGCCATTGCAATAAAAGTAGTTCTTAGATAAATAGTGCAAAGATATATATTTTTTAAAGTAATCTGACTTTATAGTTAGGAGAAAAAAAAAAAAAGATAAGAAACTTTGAATTATGCTCCTGCTGTTTGAAAACTTTTGGCTCACATTGACAGATTTATTGTCGAGCAACTAGACAAAACGAGACAGAAATGTCCTTTGTTGGAGATTTAGGGGTCTGGGTGGGACATTTTCTCAGGACGGTCCGTATTTTTTCACCCCCTCAGTGCTGCTCCACTTGCTCGATCTATTCTGGGAAAGCCGTCACATGAAAAGTGAAGTAAAGTGAAAGCGGTCAAACCCGCCCACCCCGAGTTCTGACACACTGACTCTTTCACCACAACAGAACACGACTCTCTCTTTAGTCTTTGCTTTCATTGCCGCCAAACACAAACAAACTCAGCTTTTTACCTTGTCTCTGTATCGTTGAATAACCGTATTGAGGTAGTAATAGAGGATAAATCCAGCATATGGCTATTTGTTTTTAATTACTGCTGCAATATCCTGTAGAAGAAACATTCCAGTGGGTTTTGGGGGGGGGAGGGAGGGGGTTTGTTTGTTTTTTTCCACTAATGTTCACTAGAGCTGCTAATCCTGCTTTGTTTGAATGACATCACAAGAGGCACAAGACCTGGAAACAAAGAATAGATGAAAGACAATAATAAAATATAATACAGCGTAATCAAAACAACTCGTGTCTGTGGTCTAATGTGATGTCTCCAGAGGCCTGTCTTAATTTTAAAGATATTTTCCAACAAAATGGTAAAATAATAATGGTAACAAATTATTGGAAATTCATTAGATTTGACTTGAAGTAGGTAGTTTTAAGTCTTAAAACTGAAGCAAATGTAATTTGGTATTTTAAAGCCCCGTAGGCAATTTAAAGTGAACTAGTTTGGGATCTGTCGCTCTTAGTTTTTAACACATCGATTGCTTTGGTCGCTCATTTTACAACTTGTGTCACAAACCCTCGCATGCATGCAGAATCGAGGAACTGGATTGCAACAGAACAGGCGAGCTGGACTCTTCGTATAAAAACTCTTTCGAAGGAAAAAAACAAAAGCAGAAGTAAAACGTTTGGCTTCTCTGAGCTCTGAAAACAGGAAACCTTAATGAGTTCAAAAAAAAAAAACAAGTGGAAAATGCTACATATTACAAGCAAAATGCTGAATAAATCACAGCAAACAGGATTTCTCATCACGTTGCCAAAAAGCCTCTACAATGCAAAAATAGAAGTTTGCCTTTTGTACATTATTCTGCCGTGTTGAACTGTGACGTTTAAGTGACTTCTTGAATAAAGTACCTCAGGATTCATAGATTTTGAATTTGGAGTTTTACTGACATCATTAGACAGTTTTTACTATTTTAAGTAATTTCTGACCATCATTTTTCCACTGTCGGATCCCAGTCACATACATTGAAGTTTCTGGTAGGAAGTAAAATACTATTTTCACTAAATACTATTTTATTTTTCCTCGTTCTGAATGCTGTTGCAAGGCACTGCAGTTATGGCACTTTATTTTACCTTGTTTTGCACAATGGGTAATCATTATCTATTATTTTTGTTTTTTTATCTTGGACCATGATCTTTAATATAAACAGAAAATACTTAATACTCTGTCATCCAGCTTTTAAAATGCATAGCCGACACCCGCCGACCTCTGACCTGGAGCTAATGACAGTCGTGCTGCCACGTTTTGAACCCTGGCTGAGGTTTTGACCCCTGCTCCGACTCCAGCTTTAAGAGTCTCAGGGTGAAGCCAAAAGGCTAAGTGTGCTGAGGCAGTAAACACTCTGATAAGAGACCTGGAATGACTTGGGGCAAAAGAAAAAAACAAAAAAAAAAACAGTGATCATGGGCTGAGGTCAACGTCCTTTTTGCTGTTTTAGTATCTTGAATGAGTGCATTTAATATTATTTCACAGTATTAAAAGAAGCTGAATAAAACAGTTTATAAAATATTCAGTGTGTATGTATATACATATATTTATCCACTGAAAACTCGAGTCTGAGCTTGACTGAATAAAAAGAAAGGTAGCTTCCTTGCACTGAAAGTTAAATGCGAGTTGGAGCCTGAAGTTTTAAGGCCCAACATTGGATAAGCTTATAAACAATCTGTTATAAATTGCTACATAAGTACATATGAACTATATCATGTTGAGTGTTGAGGGCTGGAGACCACTTAGTGATGTTTCTGTGGAGATTGTCGAACTTTTCTACTGCCGAGAGGAAGCTTTGCTGGGCATGAGTTTCCTCTTTTTCACCTTAAAGAAATCTGAAAGGGAAAAAAATATATATGTATATATTTCAATACTTTCTAAAAGTTACGTGAATTTTACAAAAGTAAAGAAACATATGATGCATAAATGCAGCAGGCTGACCTGTGATTGCAGATTGTCTGCGTTTTCCCAGTCGCTGAAGTGGGTAGCTCCCTCTAGTGGTCACTTCCAGGTACTCTTCCCCAGATGAGCTCCCAGAGGCAGGAGAGCCGTCTTCCTCCATCGACGACGTTGAGGTGCTCCTCGTGATTTTTCTGGCCAACACCGCGGGCCTCACCAAGCAGCTCCGGTAAAACGCCGGCACGTCCTGGCACCCAAGCTCCACCCATTCCACGTGTGCGCCCTCTCCTGGCACGTCTCTCTGGAAGTCAAAGTTCCAGCGCTTGTTGGCGACCTCCACGCTCATGCGGAACAGCTGCTGGAAGTCCCGCTGGAGCTGCTGGTGGTCGACAGGGCCGAAGAGGTTTCTCCGCACTGGCCCAACCTTCAGCTTCAAGGCGTCAATGCCTTGGAGAGTCGAGGTCTCGAACTCAGACGTCATGGTTCCTCCGGACGATGTTGACGTAGAAGCCATCATCATATCCCTGTTAGGAGAACAAGCCGTATATAAGCGCTTCATGCATTCCGTTGCGTCTCAAAGAAAGTAAACTGGAGTAAAATTTAGTGTTTTCCCCCACAAACAAGCATTATTTGCCCCATTTATGGATCAGAAACACAAGCGGTCGAACCTGCTGGGCAATTACTGCACCAGCAGGTTCCTGGACTAACACCAAATAAATCTCCAACAATGTTCAGCGCCTGCCCAGCTGTGTCAGAAAGAGTCTCCACCTGCTCTGGAGCCTACCAGTCAAAGGTCACGCAGGAGAGGTCCATGAAGGCTTTTGATGAGGAATGTTTCCTGCATTCCCCTCTCTGCCACAGTTAATTAGAGCAATGCAGCTGAATTCCTAGATGGAGCTCCAGCTCTGCGTTTTCAGCTCGATGTTAGCGGAGCTCACTTATATCTGCAGCCTATTAAATTCTGGCTCAGACAGAGAGATGAACAATCAACCAGCTTGAGCCACTCTGAGATGCCCGCGTTATCATCAGTAGTGTGTGCAAAACTTTGTCGATATTATGCTAATGTACACACAAAAGTTGGATGTTGGTGTTTCTATTAAGATCTGAAGCATCTGAAGAACCACTTCGTGCTAGCGCAAAAAAATTTCTCTTGTTTTTTTCAAATTTAGTGTTTCAATTAAGCAAATACGTTTCTGTAAATCCAACTTTACGATGACTGGAAACGCAGCCTCTGTCTCTCCAATAATTTCCAGATAGGCAAGTACAAAAAAACTAATACCCACTGGCAGGAGGTTCATTGTCAACAACTGGATTGGTTTCAGGAGGCTCTTGAAAAGTTATTTTTAATATGTGAAATGTCTCCTCTGACGAAAATTGTTTTAAAAAAAATCTGGATTTTTCTCTTTATTGACAATTTAAAAACTGGATCTTCTGTGGCGAGCCAAATGTTTTTGTTTTTTTCCCCCCTGAGCAGTTGTTTGTGTAAACCTTGCAGACTCCCAACTTTGCACAAACTCTTCTGTGTCGTTTATGGATCTTAACCTGAACTGGTGAGCTGAAGGGGGAAAAAAGAAAAAAAACAAACAAACAGGGACCACATCAGTGTGAAGACAGAAATTTGGGGCCCCTCAGGGGTCCGTGGGAGGAGAATTAAACGATGTTTCAGCGGTTTTGACACATCCAGAACAAAATGTACCAAATTAGTACAAACAGCTGTGAGAACCCCACACCTCAAAGTTAACACTGCGTCCCCTAAAGAGCCTTTTAGTTGAAGAAAAGCCTCCTTTGTTCTCAGTTGTTTTCCCCGTTCAAGGCTTGATAGCGCGAGTGAAAGTTGTTTGCGTGGAGTGGAGCGGAGTGGGCGCGGTGCGCGTGCGGCTCAGGTTTCCACCGCGGTCGGTCGGTGGGTCCGCTCCCACAGTAACGGCGAGAAAATTCACCGGAAAGCCAGCACAAGTGTGGAAAAATAACAAGCGCTCGTATTCCACGGTCCACCTTTATTTTTTACTTGTCTGTTTGTTTTGCCCGCGCTGAAGACAAGTGAACGTAACGGGAGGTCAAATCTCGGGCTGCGCGCAGTGACGCAGTTAGATTCGCGGAGGATGTGGGTTAATGAGATGCGACACAGAAACGCTGCGCGTCGTGTCAACATCCACTTTGCAGGCACGACACGCGCAAATTCATCACATACGAAATAGAGAAGAAGAAGAAGAAGAAGAAATAAAGCACACGCACAGTGCGTGTCGACGCGTTTTAAATCAAAAAACGAATCACAGTTTGTTTCACGTTCACATGCTGGCGAGAAAAATAAAAACTCCCTCTTACCATCGGCGTAAGTGTCTTAAGATGAAGTTTCCCCAAGACGAACGACTCCCGTAGAGTGACAACACCCCGTGGACATAAACAGTGTCACGTTGTCAAGTTCCAGGAGTCTCTGCCCACCAAATGATACTTTTAGCCTCCTTATCTGGGCGACTTGTTTGTTGTGGACTCAGGAGACAGGAGGGGACGTCCTACGAGAAGGAGACGGTCACGTGGTTTCCGTCAAAACACTCTCTCTCTCTCTCTTTCTCTCTCTATCTGAGCGCCGAGGTGGAGCGCAACTCCCGATTCTGAGCGTCAGTGAACGCAGCGCAAAGTGCTCGTAAACTAAGCCGCGAGAAGACGCAGTTAGAGCGCGTAACGTTGCTCGTGCGTTTAGTTTGAGAGTCCGTGGAGTGAAAATGCTCTCCAGTTTTAGTCTGCTTGTCCTTTTAGCTGCAGCTCTCACTGCTCTCCCTCTCTCCTCCTCTCTCTCTCTCTCTCTCTCTGTTTTTCTCTGGGCGGTCGAAAGTAGGTCAACTATTTTGGCACGGGCCTCATTTCCCTCCTTCTTCCTCAAATGTGACACACATTCTCGTGGAGCCCTGGCATCACGTTTGATTCTGGCTCCTCGCCCGTACCTCCAGTCACGTTGAGCTGCAACGTGACCAGGAACACTTTCTCCTCTCCTTCACGTCCCAATAATTATTTTAGTATTCCCGCGAAAAGAGAGAGGGGCAGTGAAACAAGCTGCAGGGCTACTGAAAGCTTTTCTTTTTTTCTCTCTCTCTCTCTCTCTCTCCCCTCAACTGACCTACTGACCTGACCTCATTGATTCTGAATAAAACCAGTGTAGATACCTCATCACCTTCTTCTACCTTAAGTCTCCCAGCTTTACACATTCACAGACTGAAACCTTTGACCACTTGTCTTTGCCAAATAGATAATAAGTCTTAGACTAGACAGAGGACAGTTGTCTTATCTTGAAACTGATCCGTCATTGGTTTTAGGTTTGCATTTCGACCCAGCAAGTTGTGGTATGTGATATGGGCCTGATGGGCAGTCACCCAGGGCGGCATAAAGCACCACACAAGTAGGATGAGAACTGAAACGGATGCACAAAGCATCAGATTTAAAAATAAAACCATACAACTTATGAACAAGTTTTTTATTGCTTTAAAGGCGTCGGAAAGTTCGACATGTGCAGAACTTCTATACTTTTTGAATTTTTTATGAATATATTAATCAATTTCCATGTACTTCCTAATCATGAAGTACTTTGTATCTAATATAAAAACCTAGCATAATACATTGAGGTTTGTGGCTATGACAAAACATAATTTAAAAGTGATGAAAACTGTTGCACTGGCTGCATTGCAAAATGTATCTTTGTAGTTTCAACAGACCAAATGTTTCACTTCATGGCTTCGTTACCAGTTTATTTTCAATCAAATAATAATCATAATAATAATTATAAAAATGTTCAGCATGCATACGCTTTTAAAGAATCACACATACAAATCCCACAGCAGAGCAGAAACATCCTTTACTGTCACACAATGGAGACATTTCTGTGCATCATCAGCAAAAACAACAGATACTCACACAAACGTGTATAAATATACACACATGTATGTATGTACACATATATATTTAAACTCCCGTGACGATGAAAAGTGTCATTAAAGTTGCAGCATGACTGTAAATAAAGCCACAATGAAACTGATCATATTTCTGTTGTTTAAACGAAGATCTGCAGTGACTGCCTGCATCAAGTCCTGTCATAAAACAGTTGTTACATATTTGAAGCTGATCAGTCACGCAAAGTTACATTAACTGAAACTTGAGGCTGTAGCGGAACAAAAGAAAAATACTTTTGTCAAAGCACTGCGGTGTCCATGTCTTTAAAAATAAACTAAACGTGCTTTCACCGGATTTTAGTATCTGGAGTACGAAAATAATCCCACAGACATCATTTTCTTTTTTTCAGACCAGACGCACGTTAGTTCTTTCTTTGCTCTTCTTCTTTTGTTTTTTCCTAGCACACTATATGCCCGTTATGATGTGCTGTTAAAGCCATCCGAGTCATCTGAGCGACCCGCTGACCAGACGACGCCCCTCACTCTGCACTTCCACTCCCACTTTTACCCAGAAAACCTGACAACTCCACTCGGCGTCTGGAGATCCAACAAGCTCTGTGTTGTTCTTCACTTGATTCACGTGCAGCAAGAAGAAACAATGCACGTTTTTTTTTTTTTTTTTGCCATAATCCCTCGCGAGAAGACGATTTATTATTCAGGGTTTTTTGGGTCTCTCTTGTGAAAATAAATAGTGTGTGTCCCTGCTTCCTATTGCTCTACAAATGTGTGTGTGGAGGAGCCTAATGAGGCTGTTTTGACCTGTATTTACAGTCAGCTTGTTGTTCCATATTAAAGGCCTAATCCTCTTGTTCTCCACTGTGCTACCCTCCTCTTTCTTTCCCTAATCCTGAGCTGAGTGTTACATGTGGAGTCATTAATCCCATTGTTTTGCCACTTTTGAATACATTACCGTGCTCGTAAAAAAAACAAAAAAACAAAAAAAACAACAGTCACATAGCGCTATGTGACTCGGCTCCAAACAGTAGGAACTGTCATGGTGGGTCTTGTGTTTCCCCGCATTACGTCTGGTCAGAGGATAAAAGAGTGAGAATGGACTAGTCAAAGTCCTGTTGAGAATAAATGGCAAAATTTGAAATCTAATTGAGGTGAAGTTCCTGCTCCCTTTCCACATTTCTGCATCACCGATAGTTTTGCCAGAAAGTCGTTTTGAGAAAAAAAAAACGTGCGACCCAAAGTATCTGGAGCTGAAGACGCCTCAGGAAGACGCTTGACACGTACTGTGAGTCAGTTTCCTCTCGGCAGGAAGTGGAAGGAGGAGGAGAAGAAGAAGAAGAAGAAAAGGATCACAGCAGAGAGCAGCTTTTTGGTTCACAGGTGCGGCGTGGGGGTTTCCAAGGTCCTCTTGCCCTTCAGCTGCGGAAGCGAAGCGCTGCAGAGTCTCGCCGCAAAACCAGAGATTGTTTACGCGCCACGACGAAACGCAAACAATGCAAAGACGCAGAAGTGCAACGCGAAATATGACAGAAGAGGAAAATGAGCAATTTCTGGCATTGAATGTAAAAGATGCACAGTTTGTAATTGTTATTAAATGTCTGCAAGGATATAAAATAACGTCTCGCCTCATGGGTTAAAATCAGTCCTGCAGATAAAGATCTACCCAAGCAAAGGAACTTTGGACCTTTGCATTTGTTTTTCATCAACCTCACTGAAACTGCATGTGTGTGTGTGTGTGTGCATGTGTGTGTATGCGTGTGTGTGTGTGTCCTTTAAGATCACACCAGGGCATCCTGGTCAGATCCTGCTTGACTGTTTCCTTGGCCCTGCCTGGATGTAGTGAAGTCAAACCAAAGGAGAGTGTTTCCTCATGTTGTAGCAACCGTTCAGAATTGGTTTAAGGATCTGAAACTTTAGTTCGATAAAAGACACACAAAAAAAAGGACAGCAAGGAAACTACATCACTATTTTGCTCCAGGATCTAAATGATAGAAATCTTTTGGAAAAAAACAAACAAAATAAAAGAAAGGGAGTGGAATATTAAAAGATGGACGGATGCCAAAATACAATCGAGGCAGGTTTAAACTCTTCACCCGCCGCCGTCTTTAGGTTTCTGATCAACTTCAAACCCAGCGCCAATGTTCTGGCCGACTGAAACGTTCAGGAACTTTGCTCTGGTAAAATCTGAAATTTTTGAAACAGAAAAACGATGGGAAATCTACAAGGAACAACACTTCCACCTGGGTACGCTAAAAACCATGCAGTGGCAAAAGCAGTCAGATTGACTTGTCTCATGAACATTTTTTCGTTTGTCTCATTTCCATTGAAATAAGACAAAAAAAAAAGCCACATCTCAGGTCAGATTCTTTTGTTGCGGAACAGAAAATCATAGCTGGAGTCAAACGTTAAACACGCTCCAGTTTCTCTTGCCGCACACACGAGTGGTTTATTGCATCAACGAGGTGCTGATTTCAGAAGCGCGGGAAGCGTCTCCTGTCGGCGATCGCTATCTGAAATACTGTTTTTGCAGAGTTGGATTGTGGGCGTGGGGAGAAAGAGGAGGAGGAGGAGGAGTGGGAGGGGAAAATTAATTCTTTGTTTTTTTTTTTCTTCTTTCTCCTGAGAAGCATTTGACTTGTTGGTATCTGCAATCCAAAATGAGAACGAAAAACAGAAAATAATCCTCCACTTTCTGATGTTCGCTAGGTTTTTTTTTTTTTTTTTTTTTTTTGTGCCATTCCATAAAAACAGATGCATGTGTGTGAACACAAGCAGCTCCTTCTGGGTTGCTTCTTCTCTGCACAGCTGAGGAGAAAAAGTGGCCTGCTCCAGCTGATCTGTGTGTGTGTGTGTGTGTGTGTGTGTGTGTGTGTGTGTGTGTGTGTGTGTGTGTGTGTGTGTGTGTGTGTGTGTGTGTGTGTGTGTGTGTGTGTGTGTGTGGGGTTCTTCCTTTATCTACATCTGGGCAACATCTGTTTTGCATCTGTCTAAGACCTATTGAGCGGTGCGTGACACTGCAAAAGAGAGGCAAAGGGAGAGTGAAGTGCGTCCATGCGGGGCGGGTGGTGGGGTCCATTTGTGGCCCGACTGGCTTCTTCTCTGTGTGGTCATGCTACCTGCACGGCGACCCAACATTCTCCTTGGTGTTGTTTTTGTGAAGGTTGTCTGCTCAGTTAGTCCTCCATGCATTTTCCTTAACGCCTCTTTATCTTTTCGCACCAATGTCCTGATCGAGACTGAGGACTTCTAGCTGTTGCGTCCAGATCCAGATGTCGAAACCACAGGAGGAGAAGGAGAACTTTACATCAGTGTTTGGATCCTTCTTGTCGCTGATGGTATTGGGTTTCATTTCTTTGAATTATTATTATTATTTAAAGTTTGCAGCAGTGAATCAGGTCACATATGGAGGCGAGAAATCTTCACACAAACCACATGGAAGATGAAAACTGTGAAAGCTTTCATGTTTTATGAGCTAACATGGAAACCAAAACCGTGACAAATAAGGCCGAATTTTGATGGGACTTGTTGATGGAAGTTTTCAGTTCAGTTTTATTTGTGTAGCACATTTCGACAAGTGCTTTACATCTTAAAAAGGTCACCAGCTGTGAAACAAGCTTCTAAACATTAAATTTAGTCAAATGCAGTCATCAATACCCATCACATATATTGATCAGAGTTCCATTCTCTGCTAATCAAAGGCAACTCTACATTTAGTTTTGACTTAAAAGAACAGCGTTTCAGCTGTTTTGTAGTTTTCTTTGTTGTAGTTTTACTTTGTTCTAGATTTGTTGCGTATAAAAATTGACTGCTGCTTCTCCATGTTTCTTCTCTATGTTGTTTCTTTGCATTTCATTGATGGACATTTATGTGAGACATTTCTGGGGATGGATTGATATGGCTTAGCCTGAGCAATACAGACACTTTGAGTTACAAAAGTATAAATTGCCTTTGATGCTTCGCAACATTCATCAAAGAACATCCACTTTATGCTGGTAGAACTAAAAACTTTGCATTTTCCTTTGCATGTTTGCAGAAGGTACATATATTCTGTTTGGACTTATATATGTCTCATAACCAGATATTTATCTTTGGTTGGTTAGACTTTGTCTGCAATGAAAGACAATGTGAAGAATGTCGTTTTCCCATCGTTTTGTGCTGAAAATGTTGATCTGAGACTTCCTGGAGCAGCAACCGTGGAGCTGCAGAATTCGCTTCCACGTGTGCCCCGTTTTTTTTTTTTCCGCAGCCGTTATTAAAAGTCAGTGTGAGAAAGCAAAAGCATTAGGTGTGTGATAAAGCACGGAAGAGTAACACAGGAAGTGAAGGGGCCCCCCAGTTTTAGCCGCAAAGTTGTAGAAGTGGAAACGTCTCACTGTGGCGCCTGTATCACAACCTTCCCCCTTCTACTGATGTATGTTCAGATTATTACTACCACTACTGTTAACTAAGCTGTAAATATAGTCGCACAATTTAATGCGATATTTAGGTAACTTCCTCTTTAAGCAGGGGCCCCAAGAATGGAAAATTACTCCAAATCTGCATGCTGCGCGTCTGCAGCAGCAACAGAAATCCGCTCTGAGCGGCTGCAATGGTCTTCCAAATGGGGACACAACAATCTGTTGTGGATGAAACAATGAGCTCATGGAGCTTTAGGCCATGATTTGGAGGGGATCACACGTCTCGTGATGTAACAGAGTCATGGGTCCCCCCCCAGCAGGCTCTGTCCCCTGGATGCTGACACAATGCTGAATGTACAGCTTATTTGTTGTCTCTGCAGGGGGTAAATTCTGTCCCCTCATAGCCAAAACCTCTGCAAAATCTTTGTATCTAACCCCTTTTATTCTGACAGACCGAATAAAAACGACAATCCTACTGCAGTCTAAAGCAGGAGTGTTTGTGGCTCTTGGACTGATTTCTGTGGTGCCCAACTGCAGTTCAGGAATGATACAAATTTATTCAACTTATTTTTTACTGAGAATAAAATGACTGGTGTTGTTGCAGTTGAAAATGCTAAAGTGCACCACAAATCCGGAACAAACCTCCAGAAAACTGCCAAGCAGCCGAACCACCGATTTCCTTTAAATCAAGGTTAAAATCTTTGAGGTTTGCGAAGATGGCATTTTGTCAAAATGTGTCGTTTGTTTCCATAACCGGTGACCGTACGATGTTTTTACGGCGTAAAGAACTTTGAACTGCGTTCTCGCTGAAACGTGCGTATGCAGATAAACTCTGAACTCAAAAGTATTTGTTTGATTAGAATCGAACTTTTATCAGCAGAGCCATGTCTACCCACAGACTTTTGCTGAGAAACTGAGTTTGCTGCACCCAAATCGGCTTTTATTTAATTCATTAGACTGCTAAACATAGGAGGCGTCTTGGAAGAAAATAACCCAAATCCTGTCTTTAAAACACAATACATTTGTTCAACCAAGTGTAAAAGAATTTGAAAACTAGATTTACTTAAAGTATTTTATAAGTAGCACCTAACATCTCCCCACACTGGGATTAAATAACACACAAATGAATCTCCAGGAAGCTGATTACACTGGATTATATTGAAAGATTTTGTATTTTTTTAAATATCTTAAACTGTATAGTTTCTAAATGAACATTCCACCATGTCGATGAAGAAAAAATGTCATTATAACCAATGTAACGGGTCAGATTAAAGGACAGTCACAAGATAGATAGGCCTAGTCAAAGTTCAGATGTAAATTTGATTTAAAATCTGTGCATGAGCTGTTTTGCAAAAAAAAAGAGTAGATGAGGTTCAATCTACTCAAGCTGGTAAGAAGTTCTACAAAAGTCATAAAGGGATGAATACACTTTGTAGATTATTTTATTTTATGTTTTTTTTCTTGAATAAAATGTTACAATTTGCTGATTTTCCCCATTAAATAAAGGAAACAAAATGGTAGCTGTAATGTAACAAACGGTGAAGGTGATTTCAATAAGTCTCAGTGGTTTGTGTCTGGATGTGAATGTTTTCACGTCTAAACACGTTTTTAAAACTGTCTGGTCAAACCAGAGAGGTTCAACCCTACTGTGTTCTCGCTGTGTTGCGCCGCCTGGTGGTTCACAGAAGTCATAGCCTTTATAGAAAACAGCCGCTGTGGAAGTTTCAACAAGCAGACCCACTTGCTCCCCCTGCTGGCGGACAACCAGAGCTGCAGCTTGAACGGACTCAAAATGGCCTATTCAACTTTAGAGCCGATTGAAATGTATTTGCAGATCATGGAACGGCCTGCAAAAAGAGAGATGTTAACATGTTTTACTGTCAATAGAAACTGTGCGCCATTAAACGTACTTAATGCTGAATGTACAGCTTATTTGGGAGACGATGAGCGCTCCAAGTGAACGTTCTTGCAATTTGACTGTGTTCAGATGTACAACCGCATAACCAGGACAATTACCATGACATCCACATCCAGCAGGGGGCGCTGGTGCTTTTCTCCAGGGGTCAATAGGTGAAGAGCAGGGAGCACGCGGACAGGCCGGCAGTCCGTCACAAGACAGCAGGATCAACAGCCCCTCTTCAGATCTTATTTTAAGCGATTCCGAGATGACAAACTAGCGAAAATAGATTTTAAAGTATTTTAGTTGCTCCTTACTTTAAATTGCCAATCTTGCTTGAACATGGCAATGAGTTCACTGTAGTTCAAACCATACAGTCTCTAGATATTAGTCCAACAGAGCATCTTTGGGATGTGGACAAATCTGCAGGAACTGTGTCATGCTATCATGACGGTATGGACTAAAAAATAAGAAACAGGATTTTGTTCTTGTTTCATCCTCAGGTGAGTACTTTCTGTACTCTGAACCAGAACGATATAAACATATACAGTATCTACATGTTTTATTCTGTACCCTTTTTTCTCCTCAGGTTGTGTCGCATTCCTGAAAGCATGTCGGGACAAAAGGCGTATTAAAATAAGAAGCCAGTTGTATGTGCTGTTTTCATTCAGCGGCAGCGGCGCTGGAATGCTTCATGCGATACTCGGAAACGTCTGCCAGCCCTCAAACAGGGGAAGACGGACACGAGAGACGCAGACTCGTTTTCCAGCCTCAGTGGAGTTTGGATTTAAATCAAGGAGAGACGCTGAGCTCCAAAACACACCAGTCCAAAACACGCCCTTAAAAATCTGCCACCTTTCACGCTTCCTGCTCTAATTTTTATAGTTTTATACTGTTGTGTTTTCTATTGCATTTGCTCTCCACCCTGTTGATGAACCAGTCATAGCAGTGACATAAGGAATTTACCTCGCCCTTGGGGCACCATGGTGCCTGTACATCGTTCTGCTTTTTCCCCTCTCTCTCTCTCTCTCTCTCTTTTTCTCTGTGTGTGTCTCTCAAACAAACACACACTCTCTCTTTCTCTGAAACAAACCAGTGTAGCTCAGTGGTTTGTTGTCGGCAGTGCAGGCAGCTGTATGGGGTAGCCCTCATTTGGTGACCTCCTCTCCATGGCTTGCCGTCTCTCCGCCGCTGGCTCCTACACCGTCGTCATCATCCCACTGAGGACCAGCCTTCACAGCCGGGAGGCCCTTCGCTTCTACCTATGGGTGAGGTCGTGTTTGTGTATGCTGTCTCAGTGTGTGTTTTATGGTCAGACGTTATAACTAGATAACAATTTACTTCCTCTGGAGTCCATAAAAGTGTCACAACGTCGATGCATTTGGCCGTGGTACATTTTCTTGACCTTTTCCCGAAGCTTGGAATTTAGCACATATTATCTAATTATATGTATTTCTGCAGAAGCAGCTGTCGCGTACGCTCCAAGAGTGGCTGCAAGATGTTAGTTCGCCTTTAAACTCATATAGGGTGCTGATGATGGATAAATAACTTCTGTGAATGCATTTTTTTTAACCTATTTACATTATTTTGGAAAAGTTTCACTCCTGTTAAAGGTCAAAGTTGTAATATAATCTTTGTAAATGCTAAATGCAGTTTTTATATGATGCAAAGTTGTCAAACTAAAGTCATTTTACTGTTCAAATATGAATTAATTGTAATTAATCACATTGTTTTGGATAAGCTCAAGAAATCAAGAAATTACTTACATAGCACCTGTCTGACGACATGAAGTAGGCTAAGATTTAAAAAAAGCTTGTCATTGACAATATACACTTAAAGAAATCTCCTGTGTAACAAATGTTCAGCTAGCTTCTCTGTAGCACTCCACTTACACTTGATAGTAGCATGTTAATCATTTTCAACTAACACTGGTTTTGGCGAGCCTCCAGGAGAGACTTTTGAATGAGAGTAACACCTCAAAATCTCAAAATCTTGATGTCAAGTTAGCAGCTAGGTGGTGGCGTTCGCTTTACTCTAGTTTCATTACTGAGTTGTCCTCGTCCTCGTTGCTGCTCTCTGGAAGGATTCAAGTTGAACTTGTTGCAGGACAGAAAACACCCTAAATCTCACCCAAGGTTAGTAACACTTGCTTTTCTTGTTAGGAACTGGTTTGAAAAGCTGGCGAACATTTTGGAGCCAGTCCAGACAGGATGGACTCTAGCAACTGTCATGGCAATGAGATTGGCTCTGAGGATTTAAAGGGCTTGGGTATTTTTATCGCTTTGGGTGTTTAGTTTTTTTTTGAGGGGGGGAGAATAGTATTTTAAGGGTTTAACAAGAAGTTCAGTCTGATGGAAAATAAGAATCCATTGGGTTTTTATTTATTACCACCTCCTCCAACCTAATGCTGGACCCTGAAGCGGGATTATGACACAAATTCAATCCATTATTATGGAAAACGACAGAACATCGGCAAAACCTAAAAAGTTACGTATCGATTGTTTGGAGCAAATACACACTGCTGTTATTATAGAACCACAGTGGCCAACAGCGAACTGTCCTTGAAACCTCCATTGATTTATTCTTTTTTGTGTGTGTGTCCATGTGTGCCTGGAGCCAAATCTGTGAAATAAAATCTTAATTTAACGTGATGCGACGTCATGATGAAGGCTTTTTGCACAAGGCTGCTCAGAGTGTGATTGGTGTTTGTCTACATATGTGAAAACTTTATTATTTAGCACTTGTGGGATTTCCCACACAAGTGAAAATCATGGCAAAATCTTTGATTCCTATTTTTTCCGGTACATTGTGAGCCTGTAATTTTGCTCCTTTAGATCCGAGTCCACATTGTAACATATTATTGCTCCTATAAACTTTGGAGCAAAAGGAAAAGTTTCAAATTTTTTGCTTTTCACCATGCCAAAATTACAAGAGGATTTTTAATTGGCATCGATAATCATATTAATGTCCCTAAAATTTAATTTAATAAACAGTTTTATGTTGGTGTTTTTTTTTAGGGTGGGGGGGGGTTGGTTTGGCTACAAATTTACTGCCATTCTTTGAGGCGGATTATATGTTCCTGATTCTAATGTTTTGTCATATTTATTATTTCTTTGCACATCAGTCACCTTTTCCATTTTGGCTTAATTTGTCTGAGTCACCATTCCCCACATGTCCAGTTTGTTCTGCAAAGTTTCTCATTAAGCCTTCTGTACAATTAGGGAGACTCAATTAATATTTCCAGATGTGCTTTCATTGTTTATATTTTCTGATGTTTTCCTGTTTTGTCATAGTTTTAATTACATTTTAAATATTAAAGTGACCTCATTATCTTCTTGTGATTATATAGTTGAATCTTTTTCTACCAAACACTCCAGTTCCACTGGAACTGACTACTGTCGTCCAAATGAAGAGTTTCCACATTTTGATTTTTTTTTCTACTCAGATTAAGCAGATGAAGGACCTGGAAAAGGAGAAGGATGCTCTGTGGTCGGGTCTGGAGGTTCTGGAGAAGGGTCGGCTGTGGTACGTCCAGCGGCTCGAGGAGAACAGGGCTCTGCGGTGCGTCGAGACCAGATACAGCACCGGCGCTTCTCACAAACGTGCAGCAGAGGTACAGATGAGTCGGCCTGAGAATGAACTGGAGCCAGATTTATTTTTTGTGTCATGTATAGCATTGGAAAGAAGTTGAGTATGAAAAACAAAAACTATCACCAACAATCTCCGGGCTTGCTCAGCTGCCCACATGGACAAGCACAAATGTCTTGATCAGATGAGACAACAATTGAGCTAAACTAGCACTGACATAAATAATAAAACAATGATGAGAAACTGTCTCTAAACTCTTATGGCTTAACTGAAGATCAACGGGTTTATGGTTGAAACTTAGAGACATCTGTGTGTTCCAAGGTACTAACTAATCCTTTTAAAAATGTACGTAGCATGCTTTAAAAACAAGGAAACTAATTAAATTCTGTTAAGAAATAGCAGAATTTAATAATAAAATAATATTTTCTTGCATAACCAGCAAAAACATGCACCAACAGCTAGCCAGATAGCTAAATGGATATTATATTGAGATAGCTATTCAAAATCAGAGAAAGAAAGTTAGGAAGCTATGATGTTGCATCAAAACAAACTTAATTGTGCAAATGTAGGAACTCATATCATCTAAAACGTTCACTAATTATTTCATAACTACATCGTTTACATTATCAGGTCTATTCTCTTTAATTGTAGTGAAGTGTTTGTTTCTCCGTAGGCTCGGTCCTGCTTCCCCACACACATCCAGCAGGTTAACGGCTCCCTGGGCTCTATAATGAATGAACCCAACGTCAGCAGCAATCCCTGTCTCTGTGATCCACTGGCGGACAGTGACCTCCGCTGGCGAAACACGGTACTGACTCAGGTAAATGTAAAGCTGAATAAGTTTGAGCTCATTTCTCTCAATTCCTCAGTCCATGCTCTCACACCAAGTTAAAAATAAATCCTCTCGTAGAAAGTGAGTGAGAAAAACCGTCGGATCTCCGTGTTGGAGCTGGAAAAGGAGGCTCTCCTTGATGAGCTGCAGGATCTGAAATTCAGCTGAGTGCCGGAATTCAAAATGAGATGATCCGCACACCGTCGCCTCCCAGATCCACTGAGTCTGAGACCCTTAGTCTTTTGTAAATACATAAATATTTAGTTAAATGAATAAATTGCTATAAATTCTACCCACTGTTTTTTCTGGTGTTCTTTCAAATATCATAATCTTGGCCAACGTGTTTTCTTGCCTAACATGTTGTTGGCAAAATTCACCAGTGAGTCACTCATAATTTATGAAAGCCAAACCCTACAGTATATAATCTGCTTTTACAGCCATTTCTCATGATCCAACTGAGTTTGTGATTTACTTTTTCCTGACTTCTGTATTTTGTGTTTCGAGTTATTTGTGTATTTCCCCATGTAGCTCTGTTATTTAGTGTTTATTGATCTAATCATAGTCATCCCGTGTTCCTGTGGTGTCTTCAGTATAATCTCCATTCTTTCAACCTTGCTCCCCACTCATGTAGTTTCCAGAAGGGTTCAAAAAATCTTTGCAGCTGATACTGTTGTATTTTTTTTCCTTTTGTTTACCTGAGCTGTAGAGAGGACCCTGCATCATTTTGTGTCCTGGTTCTTCCGTTTCCGTCCCCACATGAGGGCTCCCTGTCGGGACACGCCGCAGGAACCTCCTCTGGTGGTCCCACACTGATCTTACAGCAACCGACAAAACCTTATCGCACGCAGTCATCTTTAACGTTTGCAGGAATTTTCTCTCGTGCGTAGCACGACTGTAGCTTTGTGCGCACAGGGAAAGACGGCTGGATTGTTTACTGCCTTTAGACGGATGCCGACGTCTGATCAGAGTCGGCACCTGTTTACCTATGTCGACAGTAGCTCCATGCACAGACCTGACTGTTTTATTTTTAGCTTTTCATATCAAAATCTTTCCATCAAATTCTCATCTTCCCTGAGTGTTTGTTGACATCAAGGCCTATGGTGGCCCTCTGTCGCTGCCTCTGTTTGGATAGGTTGATCAGATCGCTGCTGCTGTACTCTGATTGTACAAGCATGAGAAGAGCACTTTGATTAATCAATTTTTTTTTGTGCTGTCTGTGACATAAATCGATGCAAAAAAAAAAAAAAAAAGTGGAACTAAACCAAATACTCCTGCTTGAACAATGCAATGTAAAAGAAGTGCCTCCTGCACAAAATCAGGGCAGGAACCAGATCACAATCAGCTTATTGCACATCCGGAAAGAAAAACATCCATTATGACGGAGGCTTGCCTTTAAGTAGCTTCATGCTTTTGGTCTTCAGAGCATCGTTGAACCATCAAGCCTGGGGCTGCCAGCACTCCGCTAATTATTGGGTCTAATTCATACACAGCGTTGCCAAACACCTTTGGTGAGGGATTGTCACGCTTCGAGGCTGTCAATGCCGCTGTTCCATAACAGCACGGTTCGTCTGAGCTGCACCCTGCTGGTCTTTCCTAATGCCTTTTAGTTGCATTAACGGTTTTGTTTACTCTTTCAAAAAATGGTGGGTGAGAATCGGAAAGGAGAATATGGAGCTAAATACAGGTCAACCCTCTGAGGTTCACCTTTCAAGATCACACCAACCCGAAAGAAAGAGTCAGAGATAGAGATTGTCTGTCACGTAAAATTCATATGAATGCACTAAATTCACAAAACATGAAGAAACTGAACCAGTGCTGGATTAGGATTTCACCACAAGGATTTGTATGCAGTCCCACCGTTTCAAACGATGCCAGTTTGCTCTCAGTGCCAAAAAATAAAAAAAGAATCGGAACAAAACAAATAAGAAATAGTTCAAGCAAAGATGATAAAAGTCATGTCTATTTGGTCCATTTGAACATAAATACAATGTTTAAAAAAAGTAGCAAAATCAAGAAAATAATTGTTTTTATGACATTTATTTTTACCAGATACTGATCATTATTTCTGACTAGAAGTAATTTACTGCCAGATAAAAAGCACAAGTTCCACCCAATTTTATTAATATACTAGATCAGTTTACGTTTCTTACTGGTTTTGATGATCATTTCACTTTTGCATTTGTGTCTTTTGCTTTAAAGCATAAAACATTAGTAAATATGTTCTACCTAAGTTGCACGAATACCTTTTCCTGGCCAACCACCGCTAAGAAGCTCAACTTGTTGCACAGTTGATTTAGCATTAGTCCTGCAGCTAAACAAACTTAAACTCTTGCGACAAGATGTAAAGCTGTACTTACAACAGTCCTTATCTCCTGCAACGTTCAATAAATGTCTGAGCAAACCTTTACAATGTAATTTCACACCATCAAATGTAACTGTTATTAAACAAGAAGCTTACAAATTAACATTATGAATTATTTAGTATAAAACCTTTTTCTTTTAATTTAAAGTTTGCTTAGAAGATTAAATGCACCACCTTTTTGTTGTGAAAAACTTTTCTTAACATTACAAAAACAGTTTCAGCTGAGTTTGAACAAACTTTTGCAATTAAAATAAGTTTATTATTTGTTCATTTTGCAGCCTACGCAAAACATTCATTTCTTCGTAAAGGAGAATGTTTTTCTTGTTGTGATGTTGACATAATTGCATATTTAGGCCCTGACGGACTTAAGTCTAAAGAAAACTTTTAACTTGAACAACTGACTGTAAATTGTATTATTTTGAAGTCAAACACATGAAATTGGTAGAGAAACTGTGAGGGGAGATAAAAATCAAGGTGATGGTAAGGAGGTTTGGACTTGGACCTCATCCCCAATGTTAAATAAATAAAAATGCCAGTTAAACATGGAAAAATATTTCTCACTATTAGGGGGTTAAAAATAATTTTAAACCGTAATAAAATAGTTGTTGTTTACCTCAGTATATTGTCTAATCCTATCAAAAATAAACCTTTTTTAATGAGATACACATAAAATATTTGCATATTTTAAAATTTACCAGGGATAGCCTGCTAATAAATTTGTTTTATTTTTATTGTATTTGCCAAGCCTTCTGTTGGCATATTAGAGAGGTCACTGCCATGATGTATCTGCATATAGTTTTTATTTTTTGTTACTCTACCAGGCATTCCCTTGTCATGTAACAGCCTAAGTAAATAAAGCAATGTTTTATTTTAAACAGAATTTAGATGAAATTCAGAGAAGTTCGGCGGATAGTTGTGTGTATAAATTCCGGTTTCATGAGATTTTTCTAAAACTAAATTTAAGTGTGAGTTCATTGATTTAATTTGTAAAAGAATAGAAACACAAATGCTGCTGCTGCCTCTGAAATCTCACAAAGTTTTTTTTTTCATTATTTGTGCCACATTATTAAATTCGTGCTCACCACAAAACAGGGTGAAAGACCTGTCATGCTGTGGGCGTGCTGCACGAGTGATTGTGTTAAAACCTATTTTGTTTTTCTTAACTGAATAAATGTATTCAGCTTTGAGATTTTTTATTTTTCCTTTTTTTAAAATGTATTTTATTTATTTATTTATTTGTTGTTGTTGTTGAGTAATTTCAACCCTTTTTTTCCCCCATCTCTTTACCTACATTTTAGTTTCAGGAAGTCTTCAGTAAACATTGTCCCCGCTGTCGCTCGCGCTAGCCTTGGACTCTCCGTCACTTCCGCACTCTGTCCTCCGCCGAAGAGCCTCGCAGGCGCGCGCCTCCCTGAGCGACACCTCCACCCGGGAGACGTCGACGTCCAGCAGACCCTGCAGGTGCTTGATGTAGTCAATGGCCGCTCGCAGCGTCTCCACTTTACTGAGCCGCCTGTCGTCGAGCTCCTGCGGCAGGTGCTCTCTGAGGCGCGCGTAGCCCTCGTTGACGCAGCGCACGCGGTGCCGCTCGCGCTCGTTCCGCTTCTGGATGAACGCGGGCTCGAAGGAGAACTCGCACACGCCGAAGGGAGCCGGGAAGGGGAAGCAGGGCAGCCGCCCGCAGGGGAACCCCTGGTCCAGGTAGGCGGCGTCGACGTGGAAGGGCATCCCCAGCCGGAGCGCGTCCTTGCGGCGCGCGGAGATCCCGCGGAGAGTGAGCGGAGGCGCAAATATGTTCTCCATTAACTCCTTATTATGAGATGTATTTCTGGAAGAAAAAAAGAAAGCAAGGATTTGAGATGAACAGAAAATTCAGGTAAGTTAATGTTTTTTTTTTTTGTTTTTTTTTCCAAAGGTTAATTTCTCACCCGTCAGACTCTCCTCATCTGTTTCCTTCTGATGGATGACAGGACAGAAACAGCCTGGTTCTGGCTGGGGAGCTTATAGGGGTGTGATCTGTGGTGGAGACGTCTTGGATCGAGATGAAACTACAAAACCTGTCCTTCCTTCCGCTCGGTGGGAAGCAACGCTCACTGCAAAGGAGAAAACAACAAACTGCAAGAAAAAGAGAAAAAAAACCCCAACAAACTTATCTTTCATCAGAACTGAAAGGACCTGCAGTGTACCAATGTGGGTATTCTTTGAGATTTTAGATAAGTTAGTCACAGTTTTTTTATGCTCAAAACAATTTTTTTTACCTCTAATAACAGTTTTAAACTCAGAGTTTAAAATATCAATTCTAAAGACAATTGATAGCAAATTATTTTCCTTTTGTGAAATATTTACTCTATGCCGTCATGATCCAAGAAAATCTAAAACTAACGACAAAAAAACCCAGCAACAAAGTAAAAACAAATACATCATAGCCCTTTTTCAGCAGTGGTTACAAGTTACTAAAAAATGCGTCTTTTATGCCCACTCTAAATAAATAAATAAACACCAAATAAAAATAAACATTTTTACCTAATTGGTTTTAAAGTTTGAGTTTTTAAAGATCAGCGTCTGTATTGTTCACACAATATGCAGATGATTGTCGGCTTTGTTACTAGAGCTATTTTCACCTTCTTCTTTTTTTTAACACATTCAACAGAATGAATTAATATGCTGAGGTGTTGGTGTGAGTATTCTTGATGTAGAAATACATGAATATAAAAATAACAACAATAAACCTGCAACCAAATCCCAGCTAATTGTTCCTGTGCAGAAAGCTAGTGTTTGCACTTCAGCACCGCTACCGGTTAAAGGAAGCTAGAAAAGTTGAAACGTCGATAAACCTTAATATTTACAACTAATTATCCCTGAAAAGAATTTACAACATGTATTGCATTTGGTAGTTTTATGTTGTGTTGCAAAATAAAGGCAAATTATGTGAAGTTTTAGATCATTTGGCCACAAATAAGCTAAAAGTTTGTGCCCATCTAACGTCACCCAGACTTCAGATGCCCCAATGATCTAAAGTCTTAAATCACTCATGTATTTATTCATTGAATACGGCTGCATATCTTCATGTCTGGTATTAATATGGCCTGAGTTTGTCTTGTGAAATTGAGTGGTTACAAGTTACTAAAAAATGCGTCTTTTATGCCCACTCTAAATAAATAAATAAACACCAAATAAAAATAAACATTTTTACCTAATTGGTTTTAAAGTTTGAGTTTTTAAAGATCAGCGTCTGTATTGTTCACACAATATGCAGATGATTGTCGGCTTTGTTACTAGAGCTATTTTCACCTTCTTCTTTTTTTAACACATTCAACAGAATGAATTAATATGCTGAGGTGTTGGTGTGAGTATTCTTGATGTAGAAATACATGAATATAAAAATAACAACAATAAACCTGCAACCAAATCCCAGCTAATTGTTCCTGTGCAGAAAGCTAGTGTTTGCACTTCAGCACCGCTACCGGTTAAAGGAAGCTAGAAAAGTTGAAACGTCGATAAACCTTAATATTTACAACTAATTATCCCTGAAAAGAATTTACAACATGTATTGCATTTGGTAGTTTTATGTTGTGTTGCAAAATAAAGGCAAATTATGTGAAGTTTTAGATCATTTGGCCACAAATAAGCTAAAAGTTTGTGCCCATCTAACGTCACCCAGACTTCAGATGCCCCAATGATCTAAAGTCTTAAATCACTCATGTATTTATTCATTGAATACGGCTGCATATCTTCATGTCTGGTATTAATATGGCCTGAGTTTGTCTTGTGAAATTGAGCTCAACTTTCTAAAAAGTGTTCAATTGCAGTTAATTTGTATTTTAACAAGATGGATGACATTTTTTCCTAAGCTCAGGTTAGATCGGATGAAACTCAGCATTTGAAAACCTTTTGCGCACATTTTTATTTAAATACACCACAACTGAAAAAGAAATATTTTTTTTGTTTTTCAACAATTCAGCAGTTTGCCTGATTCCGAGAGTTGCCATGGAGAGTTTGCCATGCAAACCAGAAGAAACCCAGACTCACTTGTTTTCATTTAAGATATTTGGACTTCTGAACCACCTGGTGTTAAATGTATCTGCCAAAGTCAGCAGGCCAACAATCTGCTGAGTGTGTGAAGAAGAAATGTCTTATGAAGACAGGATCATACCCTTACTCAGATATCTCAGAACCGATTTTAGGAGTCCGAGGTAAGGATGGAATTACTTGATATTTTATGAAGGAAATGCAGATATATTAGTTAAGATGTAGAATGTAACTGTCAATACATTACTCTGGGTTGCAAAATTGATGCTTAAGAAACCTGGGATTGGAAATCTAAGGCCTCTTTTTTTATTTGCACCATTTAGACTACGTACCTTTTTCCTTCCCTGAACTGATTTTTGTTGATCAAGTTCACGTGTCAAACTCGTGGCCGCAGGGCCAAATCAGGCCCACCTTATCTTTTTATGTAGCCTTCTGAATTCCAGATGTGAAATTGCATCAATCATTCCCTCCAGTTTTTTTGCCACAGCAACAATTTACACAAAAATTTGCAAATCCCCACATTTTTTTACATTTCTTTTGTGCTAATGCATAGCTGTGGGTTCATTGCAAATTCTCCACAAAAATAGTCAAAAGCATTTAGTTTAAATGACTGATAGCTTCGAATTAATAAAAAATGAGAAAAACAATCATGGAATCGGAAAACTGATCTATGTGAAAAGATGTTGAATACTTAAAAAAATGCATAGGCAGCTATTTATAAATATGGTAAAAGTTTTCTTATCTAGTGAGCTTGATTCTCTTTTTGTATTTGTTGTCAGGTCTGTTACCTACAGGACATCAGAACCTGAATATGTACCTGAAAACGAAAATGCTGCCATCGCCGAGTTTAAGAGGATACTGAAACCCATCTGGCATCTTATTTTAATCGGAATTCTGACCGGGATCCTCGTCTGGGTGTTTTTAATCGTCCTCCTCGAGTGGAACACCAAGCAAAACGTGTTGACGAGTCTAGCGCATGTCAAAAAGGAGAGGAAGACCAACACCGAGAAGCTGCTAGAGGAGATAAGGAGGATGGTAGAACAGCTGAAGTTAACCAAAACAAACTTCTCAATTCTGAAGGCGGAGTATGACCGGCTGTTGCACAATCTTCCTTGCAATGCAACCTTCCTGGAGCATGAATTAAACAGCCTGAGTGCGGTCTTGGACAAAGCTTTAAAAGCTAAAGCACAGATTGAGGGGCAAGCCAATCGGGTGGCGGCCCAACTGAAGTCTGTCCAGGATAAATACCGGCCTGTGGAGCTGAAGAACCAGAGACAGCGTTCGATCCTGTCCTCCAAGCGGCTCAGCTACATTTGGGATTTTTGTAATCGGACCACGCTGACGTGTTCCCACTGCCGTCCGGGGTGGACAGAGCACGCTTCCAGGTGCTTCCTCATCTCCAAAGTGGACAAGAACTGGGAAAGTGCTCGTGTCGATTGCCGCAAATACAGAGGGGACCTAGCTATTGTCCTGAACAAAACCGACCAGGAGTTCCTTACGAACATGGCGTTACAGTTTAAAAATAAAAATCCTCGCATGACCTCCCACTCATTGTGGATCGGGCTGCAGGACATGGTCAAGGAAGGAGTTCACTTCTGGGTCGATGGAGAGAGAGTCAAATGGGATGTGGCATACTGGAAATTTGGGGCGCCCAACAGCACCGAATTTGCCTTGAACACTGAACATGAAACTGAGGACTGTGTGGCCATTGCACCGCCGGATCAAGTGGGACCTGAAGGCTGGCTGGACACCTGGTATGAAGCTGATTGTACTGAGAGACATCACTACATCTGTCAGGGTGATGCCCTGATTAAGCCCTAGATAAAAGAAGTCCTGTTTTAATCTGGCCACAAGACACATGTGGGCGCAAAAAGTCGGGTCAGAGAGACTGAAATGTAACTTTCTTGTTAAAAAGCACAAAACTCAGAACAGACAAAGCTCGGAGTGAAAAATTGTGGGGGCAGTATCATGCTGTGGGGATGGGGTGGTGAGATGGTAGATGGAGATACAAAAAATATTCATTCTATACTCTAAGAAAATCTAAAACTACAGAGGAAGCGAAAGAAAAAAACAAATATTAAGAATTGTTAGTTTGGTACCTGTGTGATTTACACAGTATGCAGATGACTGTTCGATATATTTCTCAACATTTCTTTCACTCCCCTTAATTAAAAATGCAGAAATGCTGCTGTTGGTATGCTTTATTTATTTTTTTCTTTTTACAACTAATTATCCCTGAAAAAATTTACAACATGTATTGCATTTGGCATCTTTATGTTGTATGTCAAACTAAAGACAAATTCTGTAAAGAATTTTAGATCATTTGACCACAAATGAGCTAAGATGATCTAAAATTTTTAATTATTAATTTATTTATTGAATATGGCTGCATATCTTCATGTCTGGTATTAATATGGCCTGAGTTTGTCTTGCGTAATTGAGCACAACTTTCTAAAAAGTGTTCAATTGCAGTTAATTTGTATTTTAACAAGATGGATGACATTTTTACGTAAGCTCAGGTTAGATCGGATGAAACTCAGCATTTGAAAACCTTTTGCACACATTTTTATTTAAATACACCACAACTGAAAAAGAAATATTTTTTTTGTTTTTCAACAATTCAGCAGTTTGCCTGATTCCAAGAGTTGCCATGGAGAGTTTGCCATGCAAACCAGAAGAAACCCAGACTCACTTGTTTTCATTTAAGATATTTGGACTTCTGAACCACCTGGTGTTAAATGTATCTGCAAAAGTCAGCAGGCCAACAATCTGCTGAGTGTGTGAAGAAGAAATGTCTTATGAAGACAGGATCATACCCTTACTCACATATCTCAGAACCGATTTTAGGAGTCCGAGGTAAGGATGGAATTACTTGATATTTTATGAAGGAAATGCAGATATATTAGTTAAGATGTAGAATGTAACTGTCAATACATTATTCTGGGTTGCAAAATTGATGTTTAATATGGTAAAAGTTAGCTAAGGGGTCTTATTAATTAATTCTGGCTCGTTGAGAACATCCAAATCCAAATTGGTCTGTCTCATTAAAATATGTGTAGGGTCATTATATTTCAAAATGTGGAACATTTCTGAGGGCATTGCAACTTTACACTGGTTTGTTTAGATACATCTGAGTGAACTTGACTCTCTTTTTGTATTTGTTGTCAGATCTATTACCTTCAGGACATCAGAACCTGAACATGGACCTGAGAATAAAAGCGCTGGCATCGTCAGGCTTAATAGGAGGCTGAAACACATCTGGCATCTCATTTTAATCGGAATTCTCAGTGGGATCCTCGTCGTAGTGGTTGTAATCATAATCATCGAGTGGAACACTAAGGAAAACGCGGTAACAAGTCTGGAGCAGATCAAGAAGGAGATGAAGACCAACACTGAGAAGCTGCTAGAGGAGAAAAGTAGGATAGCAGAACAGCTGAAATTAGCCAACGCAAACTACTCCATTCTGTTGGCGAAGTATGACGAGCTGTTGCGCACAATTTCATGCAATTTAACCATAGAGAAGGATATCGACAGCATGAATGAGAAATTGACCAATACTTTAAAAGCTCAAGAACAGCTTGAGGGAGAAATCAAGCAGATGACGGCTGACATAAAGTCTACCCAGATTAATCACCAGCTTAAACTGCTGGAGAACGAGAAACAGCGTTCTTTCATGTCCATGGATCACCTAGACTTCATCTGGGATTTTTGTAACCAGACCAATTTCGAGTGCTCCTACTGCGTTCCGGGGTGGGTGCATCACGCTGGCCGGTGCTTCCTCATCTCCAATGTGGACATTAAATGGGAAAATGCTCGCACCGAGTGCCTCAACTACAAGGGGGACCTAGCTTTAGTCCTGAACGCTAAAGACCAGGAGTTCCTGACGAAACTGGCATTCCGGTATAAAATTGCAAATCCTAACTCAACCTTCCACTCAGCGTGGATCGGGCTCCAGGACTTGGTCAAGGAAGGAGTCTACGTCTGGGTCAATGGAGAGGGAATCAAATCGGATGTCACCTACTGGATACCTGGCGAGCCCAACAACAACATAGCTCCCTGGGACATTGAGCAAAACGGTCAGGACTGCGTGTCCATTGTACCGCCGGATGACGTGGGACCTCCGGGCTGGATGGACACCTGGGATGACATTACTTGTGTTGGGAAACGTCACTACATCTGTGAGCTTGAGGCCCTGATTTAGACATAGTTGGAAGAAGTCCTGTTTTAATCTGGCCATAAGACATGTGGGAGGAAATAGTCGGGTCAGAGAGACTGAAATGTAACTTTCTTGTTGAAAAGCACAAAACTCTGTACAGACAAAGCTCTGAGTGAAATATTGTGGGGACAGCATCATGCTGTGGGGATGGGGTGGTGAGATGGTAGATGGAGATACAAAAAATATTCATTCTATACTCTAAGAAAATCTAAAACTACAGAAGAAGCAAAAGGGAAAACAAAAAAGACAAATTTCAAGAATGTTAGGTTATAGATCGGGACCTGTGCAGATGACTGATTTATTACTCAACATTTTTTCACTCCCCTTAATTAAAAACCCAGAAATGCTGCTGTTGGTATGTTTGATGTACAAATGTGGGAATACACAATTAACAACGACAGACCTGCAACCAAATCCTGGCTAACTGGTCCTGGTCAGGAACCTAGTGTTTGCACTTCAGCATAGCTGCCAGATACAGGAAGCTAGAAAAGTTGAAAATTTCAAAAAACCATTGCCAAAATGGAGTAAAACCTCAACATTTACAACTAATTATCCAAGTCATAACAGAAAATTTGTATAAAATGTATAATTGTATAAAATATAACATTGTAATTGTATATGATGTATAATTGTATAAACTGTTACAAACTAGAGCCAGTTTGAAGAGAGTAACTTTTCAGTCTTTCCCATTTTAAGACAAATAAAGATAAGAAATAAGTCTTAGGTATAATTTATGTGACTCTTTCCAGACTAAATAGATGCCATATTTTGATTTCTACTATTTTTGAAATTTTTGGATGATTTTTTATAGATGGTGCTATAGCTTTTATTTTACATTTTATATTGTTTGTTCTTAGCTGCTGCGACACATGAATTTTCCCCATGGCGAGATTCATCGTATCTCCCCATAGCGAGAGCCTGTCACTCTCTTTTTAATGAAAACATTTCATTCGAAATTAGAATATTAAATCAGACCATTGAAACACATCTAATACAAAAACGTGGGCTTCATGGAAAGCTTGGTACTTGCTTACAGATTATTTTCAAATTGTACTTTTAATACGACAATAGGGGTCGTTTGAGTGCATTCTGGTTTGAGTAGCTTTCTTTTTCTCCCATCACTGAATGAAATTCAGCATTTGAAAACTGATTGTATTTATTCATCTTTAATCAAAATTGAGATTATCAAGTAGTACATCTTACATTTTGTTTCACTAACAAACACTCAAAGAAATGTTTTTGTTGGTTTTTTTTTTTTTCCAACGATTCAGCAGCAAGATTTGTAGAACTGGTGCGGCGAGATTGCCATAGAAACTGTATTCCCTCGTTTTCATTTAAAACATGCACATTTTTGTCCTTTTAAAATCACCCGGTCAAATGTGTGTTGCCAAAGTCAACAGATCAATGCCATGTCATTGATCACGTATTTAGGAAACGCTATAAGGCTTTCCAGGTAAGGATGAAGGAACTGCAGATATATTGATTTATATCAATACATAAAAACAATATAGCTGGTTAAGATGCAAAATGTAACTGTATATAAAATAGTCTGGGTTGCAGAAATATTTCAGAGATCTGCGATTGGAAATTTAAGAGCTGCTTCTTATTTGCACTATTTAGATCAGTTTTTTTTTCTTCCTCTCCACTTCATGAAGAGATTTGTGTTGATATATGTCACATTGTCATTTTGTGGCAAAATGTGGAAAAAATTTAAGGGCACTGCAGCTTTAGGTTGTTCAACTACATCTGGATGAACTTGATTCCCTTTTTTATTGTTTGTTGTCAGGGCTGCTTCCTACACACCATCAGGACCAGGCAATGAAACTGAGGACCGACCAAAAAGCATCCCAGAGTATAAAAGGAATCGGAAACACCGCCGGTATATGATAATTATCAAAATTTTGAGCGGGCTCCTTGCCATAATGATGTCACTCTTCATTCGCGAGTTTGTCCAGAAGAAACACATAATGACGAGTCTAGAGGAGATGCGGCTTACAATAAGCACCCAGAAACTACCAAAAATCCTGTCCTCCCAGCGGCTCGACTACATCTGGGGTCTTTGTAACCGGACCACGCTGCACTGCTCCCGCTGCCTGCCGGGGTGGACGGAGCACGCCTCCCGGTGCTTCTTCATGTCCAAAGTGGAGAAGACTTGGGAAAATGCTCGCAGGGAGTGCCTCGACTACATGGGGGACCTCGCTGTTGTCCTGAACGACAAAGACCAGGCGTTCCTGACAAAGATGGCTTTCCGGGTTAAAAAGGCCAGTCCCAGTGGTACGTTCCACTCAGCGTGGATCGGGCTGCAGGACCTGGTGAGAGAGGGAGACTACTTCTGGGTCAATGGAAACAAACTCCAATTTGATATCCGATTCTGGAAACCTAGGCAGCCCAACAACGAAATAGGTGAGGTTGACCCTGATAAGGATGGTGAGGACTGCGTGTCCATTGTACCGCCGAATGTGGTGGGAGATCTGGGCTGGATGTACACCTGGGATGACATTATTTGTACTCTTAGACGTCACTACATCTGTGAGACCGATGCTCTGATTTTGGATGGAAGTAGACAGTCAGATCAGAAAAATTGAAATGTTGTGGGGGCAACATCATCCTGTGCAGATGTGTTTGGTATTAAGAAAATGTCAATCCTGGAATAAAACCTTTTAGAATCTGGAAAAGACTGTTTTGTCAAAGAAAATCAAAGTTCAGATTTCTGTTGATCATTCTATCGTTATAAAGATATGAAGAAAAGTTTCTAGAGGTCATCAAAGGTCAACCAACACCTTCCCCACCACCTCCCTTCATCAAATCAGACAAAATGGGTGCCAATTAACCCGACTTCCTTTGTGCTGGTTTGTGCAAACGTTTCATACCAATTTTGCCTGATTTCATAAAAGTGGGGGGGACTGGTTGACCTTTTGACCTTTAACCTTTCATCAATATCTTCAAAGCCAAAGCAGCACAAACGAAAATTTTTGTGGCATAAACTTCTTAAAATGCTCAACAACAAATCACCTGTTAATTAATTAATTAAATCAATGTTTTTGAGCATCTGGATAGACATGACAGACTATTGTATAACTTCACACACACAAACACACACATTCACAGTATTTTCTTACACTGAGTCAGTCCAACTCATTATGTTTTGTCTTTGCTCTTTGGTTATTCTTCAATATTACCAAAGTTATTGTTGTTACTGTTTATAATAATAATAATAATAATAAAAGTCATTATTATTATTATTATCCCTGATAATAATTTCAGCTTAAGTATTTCATCCTTCTGCTCTGAGGTTGACCGCTGGCGATAGGGGAATATACAAAAATAAATGAATGAACAAATACAAATTTAACATTTTTTAAAATTTAATTTTAACATCTTTCTTTTTTCCTTTATTATATCAACAACACTACAAATACCTAAAACCACACTGGACTCTTTCTACTTCTTTTCTTCCTTTTTTTTTTTTCTTTCTATTATTGTCTTTGTTGTTTACCAATTTCTAACGCTTGTATTTGTTATATATCAATAAAAAAAATAAAATAAAAATAAAAAAGGTAATGATGATTTGTCTTTTTCCCCCCAATGATTCAGCAGCAGGATTTGTAGAACTGGCAAAGCGAGACTGCCATGGAAACCATACTCCTTTGTTTTCATTTAAAACATGCAAATTTTTATCCTTTTAAAATCACCCAGAGAAACGTATGTTGCCAAAGTCAACTGACCAGTCATGACATTGTTCACAAATTTACAAAATGATGCAACACTTCCTAGGTAAGGATGAAATTACAGGATATTGATGAAGGAACTGCAGATATATTGATTTATATCAATATATAAAACAATATAGCTGGTTAAGATGCAAAATGTAACTGTATATAAAAAAGTCTGGGTTGCAGAATTATTTCAGAGATCTGAGATTGTAAATTTAACAGCTACTTTTTATTTGCACAATTTAGATCAGTTTTTTTTCCCTTCCTCTCCACTTTATGAAGAGATTTGTGGTGATATATGTCACATTGTCATTTTGTGGCAAAATGTGGAAAAAATTTAAGGACGCTGCAACTTTAGGTAGTTCAACTACATCATGATGAACTTGATTCCCTTTTTCATTGTTTGTTGTCAGGGCTGCTTCCTACTCACCATCAGGACCAGTCGATGAACCTGAGCAACCGGAAAAACGAAAGAAACCCAACTATTATCTTATTGTAATCGGAATTTTGAGCGTGTTCCTTGCCTCTCTGATGTCAGTCTTCATTCGGGAGTTTGTCAACAATAAACACATGACGACGAATCTGGAGCAGCTGCAGCATTCAGTGTACAGCCATGAGAAAATACATAAACTCCTGAACTCCAAGCGGCTCAACTACATCTGGGGTCTTTGTGACCAGACCACACTGGAGTGCTCCCGCTGCCTGCCGGGGTGGACGGAGTACGCTTCCCGGTGCTTCTACCTGTCCAACATGGAGAAGACTTGGGAAGATGCTCGCAGGGAGTGCCTCGACTACAAGGGGGACCTTGCTGTCGTCCAGAACGAAAAAGACCAGGCGTTCTTGACGAACATGACTTTCCAGGTTAAAAGCGCCAGTCCCAACGGTACGTTCCACTCAGCGTGGATCGGGCTGCAGGACATGGGGAGGGAGGGAGAGTTCTTCTGGGTCAATGGAAAGAAACTCGAATATGATGCCAGATACTGGATACCTGGTGAGCCCAACAACAAGATAACTGTCTGGGACACTGATCGGATCGGTCAGGACTGCGTGTCCATCCTACCGAATATTGTGGTCGGACAAAAGGGCTGGATGAACAGCTGGGATGACATTACTTGTATTGGGAGACGTCACTACATCTGTGAGACTGATGTCCTGATTTTGCCCTTGGATAGAAGTCGTCCTGTTCTAAAACAGAGACGTGGAAGAACACAGTCAAATCAGAAAGATGGTATTAGGAACATGTCAATCCTGGAATAAAAACTTTAAGAATTTGAAAAAGACTGTTTTGTCAAAGAAAATCAAAGTCCAGATTTTTGTTGATCATTCACAGTGTGTGGCAAACCTTAAACCATCGTTGACAGAGACTCCCCCACCAATCTGAGACACCTCTGTGTCAGTTTCCGTCTCTAATGTGCAAAGCTACCACTTTGAGTTGGTCTTTCCCCATAAAATCAGAACATAAAAAAACAGAAATATCTGGTGAAAACTTTCTCTCCAATTGTGCAGATTTTTATTGGTGATATGTTTACGTTTTCAAACCTCCTGAGCAGTCAGAGTTGCAACGTGCAACATCCTAACTATATTTAAACCGAATGGCTCCATCTAGTGGAACAACAGGCCACATACAGTTTGAGATTACTTCAACATTTGTGGTTGATTTTAAACATTAATAGCATATTAGCATTAGAGAATGATAATTACGCCTGTAATAAAAAAAAACTAACCCAAACTGATACCAGGTATAATTAAGTGTTAATGAGTATAAGAAATTGTACGTTTAAATGTTTTATTAGTACTGTACTCTGGAGAGCCATTTTATATATACATGAATAAGTATAAATGGGGATGAAGATGCCAATTAGTCATTTATTTATTCCCCATTCTATGGCTGTCCTAAACCGATGTCAAAATGCGCGTGTGAAAAAAAAAGAAAAGAAAAAAAAGTAGAATGCGCATGCGCAATAGAGGCACAGTTGCTGTCATGGCCCGGTTCGTGGAGGTTTTGTGCTGTAATGTTGGTCTGTTTCGACAAATTAGCAACGCTTCAGGAAGGATGCCGCTTCTTCAGCCACGTGGAGGTTTAGCCGAGTTTCTGTTCGGTGGAAACTCGTCAGCCTGCTCCGTTTTTATGTGCTGCGAAGACGTAAGTTTTCGAGGCTAACGCTAGCTTGAAAGCAAAACCAGAAACTGGTGTTTTGTTTGTTTGTTGTTGTTTTTTTTTACGGCTCGCGAGCTCCATTGTCGCCTCTTATTGTCGCGGTGGTTCCCTGGAGACGTTCGTATTTAAGCATGTAGCAGTCGCGTTGGATCCTTAAAGGGACAGCAGTTGTTGAATTCAGGTAAGCTATCAGGAAATATAGACCTGGACACAGCTAACCGTGGACTGAAACGTCTGTAATGGATGACTTATTGTATGTAAAGAAGGTCAGTTGGCTCGCTTGACTCCGATGTTGACTCATCTTCAGGATGAATGACATGAACCTGAGTCCTGTGGGCATGGACCAGCTGAGTGTGCCCTCAGTGAGCTCCAGCCACCTGGGTCTGCCCACTTCTCCCACGCACAATCCCATTCCCACCCCAGGTATGGAACCAGTTCATCGGGTCAAAGATTGTTTGACACCCTGAAATCTGTATAAACAAATATTATAACACAATATGTTGCCACTATTGCCAAAAGAATGTGTAAAAAAAACTATAACTACAAGCATAATTCCCAGAATAAAGTTGCAGTATTAAAACAAGAATATAGTCACAGCTTGTTATTAATAATAATCTGATGCTGATATGTTGATAGTTTAAGTGATTCCTTATTTGTAAAATAATAAATTGAATAAAGTGTAAAGTAGTGTTATTGCTTTATTGTGATGATTCATTTGACTTTATTGTCGTAATATGACTTCACTTTCCACCTAGTTATATCTTTACGACTATTCTTGTATTACTATTACTTTGTTCTCGTGTCCATTTTTATTTCCATAATACATCTTTATTCTGGTAATATTGTGACTTTACTCTGGAAATATTACTACTTCTTGCAGTATTACAACTATTCTTGTATTCTTGACTTTATCTTGGTAATATTATGACTTTTTGTAGCATTATGACTTTATTTTTGCAGCATTAGAATTTTACGACTTCATTCTCGTCGTTTGATTTTATGAATTTGTTTCTGTCTGAGCCGTGTTCGTTCGCATGTTTGACTTTCTCAGGCATGCCGGTGGCCATCCCCAGTCTGGGCCCGTCCCTCGGCTCTCTCCCCTCTGCTCTGTCCCTGATGCTGCCCATGGGTCCTCTCAGCGACAGAGGGGTGATGTGCGGCCTGCCTGAGAGGAATTACTCCCTGCCTCCTCCGCCGTATCCCCACCTGGAGAGCAGTTACTTCCGACACCTACTGCCAGGTGGGTTTGGGATTTGTATCTGTTGTTATTAGACACAAAATCCAAACTCATATTTCATCCCAATATCTACTGTCTCTTTCTTTTTATAAGGTATTTTGTCCTACCTGGCAGACCGTCCACCTCCTCAGTACATTCATCCCAGCAGCCTTAACATGGACGGGACGCTGTCTGTGGCCAGCAACAACCCCTCCAGTCTGGACCCCTACAGCGGGCCTGGGGGCCCTCTAGAGCAGGGCCTGGTGCCCTTGGACTCGAGGCAGGTCAGCGGTCAGGCAGACCTTCACCAGGCCGGCCCTCATGAGCTGGACTCCACAGGGCTGGCCATGGAGTCACGCGTTAACAGCCCGCTGTCTCCTGACCGAATGGGGGAGGAGCTAGCCAGCATGGACGGGGTGGTGGCGGTGGCGGTGTCCGACGGCCAGCAGCTCGGCGGAGGACGGCAGCCTCAGCCTCACGAGGGGCTGGACTCCTCCGGCGGGGTGATCCCTCTCCACGGGCCCCCTGTGCTGGAGCTGCCTGTGGTGATGGAGACGGACCACCTGGGAGGCAGAGTGGGAAGCTCCGGGACGGGAGGAGCTGGGGGCGGAGGAGGCGGGGCAGGGGGAGGTGGTGGAAATGGGGGGCTCGGGGAGCAGCTCCATGGGAACGGAGAGATGAACCAGAGCGTGGTGAGCGTGGTGCTCACCGGCTCCATGTCCAACCCCGGCCAGCTGGAGCCCGTGTCTCTCCACGGACACTCGGGGATGGGGCTGGAGGCGGTCAACGTGTCCTCCATCACCGCCGAGGTGGCCCTCGGCCCCGAGAACAACCTGGTCCTCGTCAACTCCACGCTGCAGCTGGAGGATCCGGCTCCCAGCAAGGAGAACATGGCCGCCCCCTGCTCCATCTGTGAGTATAAGTTAGTGCTTCGGTCTGGGACCTGTCAGGTGTGTGAGAGAGACATTTCAAAACATAACATTTTCTCTTTGTTGTATTTTAAGTGTGACGCAGAAAAGGTTACAAAACTGACTTTAAAAATGCTTGAATTTTACTGTGGGATAAAGTGTACGAATCCTGAAATTAACAATCTGAAACATTCGAAGGTACAGTCTTGACTCTGACATCTGCTGATCTCTGTTGATTTCTCGTCAGGGTGCACACTGTGTGAGCGCTCATACCCCTCCGACTGTCCGGAGCACGGTCCGGTCACCTTCATCCCCGACGCGCCGATCCAAAGCCGGGCTCGCCTCTCTTTGCCTCGTCCGCTCTGCCTTCGTATCTCTGTAACCGATGAACCGCTTGGTGAGAGATCAAACACCCCTTCGCTGTGGCTGGGCGATATGGCTTAAAAATATAATTTTTATAAATGTTATAATTTCAATAAATGTTTTAAAAAGAAATTCCAAGTGACAAAAAATACTTTCAAAAAGTGGCTTTTATTTCAAATGATAATTTCTGTGAGTTACGTGACAAACTGTTCAGTTCAATTTTTTGGATTAATCATAAAGATAATCCGTGATATTAGCAGAAAGTGTGTTTTTGCCAGAAGAAATTATTGAAATGAACAAGATAAAGTCATTTTAATGAGCAAAATCTTCTAGAATTATAAAGGTCATCAATGCAAGCGGTGCATTGATGTAAAAAAAAAGAGATCTGGATTTTCCAAAAATTCAATCTTCAAAACCAAAAATTGGATTAATCAATAAAATTGACTTATCACCCAGCCCTGTTGTAGGTTTTAGCAATTTATTTTTATATTATCAAATGTTTCCCCAACATGTGTACAGGAGTGTTTGCACGGGACGTAATTCCTCCGAGGACCTGCTTCGGGCCAATGGTGGGGCAGCACTGCAGCAACGTGGATCTCTCCGATTGGCCAGAAAAGGACACGCCTCAGATCTGGAAGGTCTGTTGACACGCAACTGTCTAAATCCACGAGCAGTAGCACTTTTTACGTCAAAAATAACAAATGGAAATGCATGTCCGCCGCCGTAGATGTACCACAACAACGTGCTGGAGTTCTACATCGTGACGACCGACGAGAACGAGTGCAACTGGATGATGTTTGTGCGCAAGGCGAGGTAGATGCCTGATCACTCGCACGCGCAGGAGGCGGAAAAGACAATGCTGCCATTACAAACGAAATGCAACGTTTTGGTGTTTCAGGACCCATGAAGAGCAAAATCTAGTGGCGTACCCCGCCAACGGGAAGCTGTTCTTCTGCACGACCACAGAGATTCACCCCGACCAGGAGCTGCTCTTCTACTACAGCCGAGACTACTGCAGGCTGATGGGTGAGGAGACGCCGCTGCATGTGGTTATGATTGGCCGAGTCAGCAGGGATTTATTACAGGGTTTTATCACTATCTGGGAAAGCGTGGGATTTGATTTCAGAAAAAGAATTATTATGACACTTGTCATTCTTTATTTTGTTACTTGTGTCCATCTTTTTTCTCAGGTTCAGGGTTTATATACTTGAAATCCTTGAACTTGATCGAACTTCAGTTGGGTGTGTTTAAGGCTTGAAAAGAGCTTGACTTCTGTATAAAGTCCTTGAAAGCACTTCAAATTCAGACTCCATCGTTTTGTAATGAAGTGTAATCTAACGCTTGCTGAAAAGGCTGTATTTTAAAAAAAGTTATTTCCAGTTGAAACCATATTTTCACAAGACCACGTATTTTTCTCACTGTGAATTTAAATCAGACGAAACGTCTCTTGTTTTAGGTCGGTTAGAATTACCAAAATTATTCATATTTGTGCAAATATGACAACTTTAGGTTTTCTATTTTTTTATTTTTTCTTTCAAATGAACGCAACGGACTGGGAACTTGATGAGCGTTTTTATCCTTCCAGGTGTTCCTCAGGTCCCCGACGGGCAGATTTGCCAGTGTGGCAAAGAGT